TGCAAAGGCAAAAACAAAAAAAAGAGGAATTCTTATCCTGCTTGCAATCCTTCTGGCATTTATCGAAGTCGATGCAAAACTTTTATTGACATCACGTTCCGCATGTAGACAGACATTTTGTACACGTTTATGCAGCTCCGTCTTACTCTTCAGAGTCATGTGGAATGTGTTATGGAAAGTGACTTTTAATGGTTTTAACATTCTTGCAGAGGTAGATTTATTAAGCTGTATACTACTATGTTTTTCTGGCTTATCAGATTTTGCACTTTTTTTTAATAATTTGAAGATGCACGGAAGCTTCTTGGGAAAGTGCTTCAAATCAATTTTAAATAAGTTTCGTATTATCCGGAATAGAACCCAGCTTACTAATGTTTAAGATTATTGATTCCTGAAATTAAATACGAACAAATACAAACTAATTTATCCTTTATGCGATATATTCAATATTCAATAGAACAGCAAAAACCTTTAATTAAAGCTTGTTAATTACTTGATGTTACTCGAATAAGTTTAAAAAGAAATCGGTTTCTCACTTTGATTTTTACAATGCATAAATCAAGGGCGTTAAAAAACCGTAAGAAATTGATTTTGAGCATGATAGAGTCGCAGCTAATCCAATAACTCAACTACCATAGATTAATATTGCTGGTCTTTCCTACCTCTTAACTCACTTCCAGTAACTTTAAATTCATAAAGGGCCTTTGACCAACGGTTAATATCGCTGGGAAATGATTTTACTCATGATGACGTTAATAATATCTGAAGCAGTATTGACAACAGGCATTCTGTGTGGAGGTCACTTGGAATGTGAGCTGGCTTTGCAAGGTAAAAGGGTGATGCGATCGGGTGTCTTTATTTGCACCAAAAAACACCAGTTTACCTGCGTGGATAACGTTTGCGTTTGCGGAAGACCAGACAAGTGTATAAAAAAAACTTAGCACATACCAATGTGTAAGTGCGAGTTATGGGTGTCAAAATAGTACGAATTGTTTAAGTACTCCAACCAACTCAGTTTTTTCTTAATCGACCTTCGAATAAAATCTGTGTTTAGCGATTGGCTTTAAGGCGAAGAGATTGGATTTGGATTGGCTGGTTTCAGTCGCGAAAACTTGATTCAGCAGATTGCGGGCTGCGAGCTCGGAGCACAAGTTCAGGCCCTCCGCTGGAGGCCTCACATAATTGGTTTTGACTGCAGCTATCCGGCCAAAACAGCAGCTGAGCCAGCAGCAATTCGGTCAACAGCAGCGGCATCGGGAAATTAACTACACACAGGTGGGTGTGGGTGTGGGTGTGGGTGGGGGTGTGGCAGTGGATGTGGGTATTCTTCAACAAAGGTCCTCTCTGTGTTGGGGGCCCTGTTGTTGTGGCTTTTGGTTGTCCGTCGTGATGCTGGCTAATGAAAATGACCGCCACAGATGACTGGGTAATTATGGCTGGGCCGCAAATGGCGAATCAAAAATGAAAAGTGTTCCGGGCTCTCTTTTGTCCGTCAATAAGCCCCATTACGAGTGGAGGGTTGCTTTCACTTATTGCTGATCCGACAAACAAAGTCCGAGCAGCCTGTCTGCCAAAGAGAGTTGCAATTGACGGATTTCTCGGCGCAGACCTCTGCCAATTGGGAGTTCGATTCCGCCTGCTCCGTGAACCTCGGCATCTCAGTGCAATCAGGCAGAAGACTCCCCGCTCTAAGCCGCCCGCTTTGTGGCAAGTGTTGCCTTTGAGGGACCCCCTTTCCCCGGCTGAAGCCCGAATGCTTTTCTAGTCCGCCGCTTTGCATTCCCGCCACCCACTGAGCGCTTTGGTGGCCTTATTAAGTTGGCGCCTCGATGGCAACTGCCATCAGCCGGGGAAACTTTTGCATCCCATCGCTTGTCTCGGCCGTTTTCATACCCGGCAATAGAAATGGAAGGGTATAAGGGTGGATATCGACGCCTTACTCACATCAAAAATATTACTTAATAAATAAAATGGCGAATCCCAGTTGCCTGCCTAATTGTATGATCTAATGTGGTTCCTCTCCTGGTTTCCTTTCCATATTTTGCATCCTTACCATTGACTTGTTTCCTTCGAAAAGTTAAAGAAAAAGCATCGAATGTGACTGGGCCGAGGAAAAGCCTAAAAGAGGGGTAACATCTGCTCGAAACCTCTCTGTAGTTTCCCTATTTATTTTCTCTTGCCTCAGTTTTTTGGCATCGTCATCGTTGCAACTTCATTGTCAAAGTTGGCCAAGACGGCAGGGTGGGGTCTTCAAGGGAAAGTGGGGAAAGTGCGGAACTGCAAAGAAATGCTCAAAAATAGCGTCTAGCAAATACCGAGAACGAGAGTGGCGAACAACGAGCTGCGGCCTGCCAGTTGGCGCTAATTATATGTAAATAGCTGGAACGAAGACGCCGCGCGAGGTGCCAGATAATTGGCCCTCATGCAACTGCCAAGAACAGTTTGCAGCCGGAATGATCAGGAAAACAGGCAGCGAAAGGGAAATGGTGAAATCGTCAACGCGTGACAGACTTCAAGTGCCGACTTCCTCGCTCTGAAACATGTTACAACCATCTTGCGAATTTATGTTACTAGACTTTACCCGTTCTCAAGATCTGTCCTAAAGAGTACGCAATCCTGGCAATACAGTACACATTTCTTTTAATTTCAGGAAATTTAAATTGGCCCAAATGCAAAAGCAATTAGCTCAAATGCTGGACGAATTCCTCCGCATTTAGGTCATTAGAGAAGAAAAATGTCATAACACTTTTCAGTGTGCGTGAGAACGCATTTCCCCCTGCCTCCTTCCTTCCCCAGGGACAACTTTCAGAGCAGCATTACAAAATTTCACCAAAAAATTCGGAGAAATGCCAAAATAAACGAGTGGGTCTCGGTGGAGTGGGGGCAGGTGGAAAGGTGGGGGATGCTCCACATGAGCGACAGTAACCAACACGTACAAAACGCATAAACATTCTTGCCTAAGTGAGTTTGTACATAAATTTGGACCAACTTGCGTTGCAGGATGCGTTACAAGGAGACGTTTTTGTGCGGGTTCCAGGATCTCATGATGGTGGATTGGAGGGGGGGAAGTGGAACTGCGGAGGAGCTAAACTTACGCAAAAATCCATGGGTAACCAAGCAAGTTGGGCGCTTAGCCGGACGACTCTGTCTGAGTATTCTATTTTATTTCTGTAGCTCCTGGCAATGCAGAAACCGTACTGAGGTGGATATATTCCAACTTTTCTCTTCTTAACTTCAAATTGGTGATGTAACCAATCATCCAGGCGAAGGTCAGTTTCAAAAAAGATTAATGTTTCTTAACGTCTATGCTTAGCTTTGATTATTGAGCTCAGATTCGCTTTTGGTTATTTTTATGTCCGTCACTTGAAGTGTACGAGAATCCCCTAAAGTATAACCTATATAAACATTCAAATAATTTCATATATTTTTGAAAGGATTACCTTGTCCACATGAACTCACTCACACTCATTTAATTTTATACTAAATATTTTAAATCGAATGAAATTTGCCGCTAAATAGCATTAATTGGATAAATGCAATTTTTCGACGTGAAGAAATGCTTGAATCGATTTTCAAATTTCCAAATAAATAACTTATTTACTTTGCTTATATAAGATATACATTTTCTGCTAGCTGAAGCCTTGAAATCTTTAAAACCATTCCATCATTTATTATCTTATTCTAATTTAAACACGTGGAATTTTATATGTTGACGAAAAAATGTTGTCTTAATTTAATTCCTACAGATCTTTAGGTAGAGGAATGTTAAAAAGAAAAAACGTAGTCCTTGAGTCTTAGAACAATTTAAACAAAAACAATTTTTTGGTCTCTACAAACCAGAAATCGCTTATATTTCAGATTCAGCGATAAAAATATGTGATTTAAAAAGTTGGAGTTCAGGTTAGTTAAGGTAATATTGTGCATAACCATAAAGGTTATACGAACGATTTACAAAGCTGCACTCGAAATTATTCAAAGAATCATGACGATATCATTGGCTGTTTGCATTATGCAAGCGTTCCCGGTCCTTTGAGACTGATGGCATTTTCCGAACACCCACCTCCACACCTACACACCCGCACACCAACACGCTCGCAGTCGGTAAAGAAGAAACTTTAGTAGCATATTTCACGGCGTTGCGTCCGAAGAGAGCGCTTCGAAGAGAGGGCTCCGAAGAGAGGCGCTCAGCGAAGAGCGGGCTTGGGGCGAAAGAGAGCACTGCTCGCATTACTGACCTACATTAAGTAAAAACTTATTTATGCCGGCTGGCAAATTGGTTCCCCAAAGCATTGGCAGCTCTCCCGCCTTTCCCCTCGGCTGTGATGGATATGATTGTTGGTAGGACCTCCCCTTTCCCTACCCCTTTCTCCCACAAACTGGTCACTATTACTGCCTTTGTGGTTGTTGGCTTTAATAATAATGGCTTGCAATTTGCATAAATAATGTTTGATTTTTGCATTGATGAGAGGAGAGTTTGTTGCGCGTGTGTGTTGGCTTGGCGAATTTAAATGATTGAAAGCCCGGTCATCACTTGGGAATGCCCAACCGGAGATTTTGACCGGACTCTGCATTTAAATTGGTAAATTAGTAGAGAGAGAAAGAAGATACATCGGGCAGGGAGAAAGTGACTATATTTGAGGGCTTCAGAACTCTTTATGAGCACCTAAGTCAACAAGAATACAGCTATTACAAACGGCTTATTTGCTGCCTTCACTAGAAGAGGAGTAAAGGTCCTGTGAGGTCTCAACCTGTCGCCGTGCTGTTCACGCGTTAACAGAGCTCTGCCTCTGTTGCTCTCCGCAGGACGCTGCTCTCTTGGCTTTGGCCCTCGGCTCGAGTTGGCATCTTCGCGAGTCCGCACGGAGCTCCCCGAACTGCGACACGAAGGACACTCGGCGCTCGGCACTCGTGACGAATGGCGGCGATTATCGCCCTTCGAGGACTTTGTGTAATCAGTGCGTCCTGCTAAGCAAATTAGTTTAGTATGGTTTTAGTGAGCAACGCCGACGGTCGCGCCACTTCGCAGCTCGCAACGCGGTAGTGCCGAAATATACGCGCTCGCCTTTGAGTTCCTTTCCCGAGACAGTGCTTCCGAAATCATCACAGGATAATAGCGACGCAAAGTACGTAAGCGGAAGAAACAGCCAGAATTAAATAAATAACTAAGTGCAAGACACAACCGGAGACGCTGGCTGCCAACTCCAATTCGGTACTTCATTTTTCACAGCCCGCTTAACGCCAATTGTGCCGGCTCCTCGCTCCTCGCTCCTCACCGGGAACTGAGGTCCTGGCTGTTTACCCTTGCATCCTGATTTTCTGATTTGCCCCTCCCTGCTGATTGCATTCTTGGTGGCAAGTCGAGCGTGGCTCATTAAATGGCCGAAGAAATGGAAATAGATTGCGGGTCCGACTTGCGGAAAAACAATCACAGCATTCCTCCTGGATTGTAGAGCTCGGAAAAGGCAGTTATGGAAAGTCCTGGCGGCCTTGTGACACTGCGGTATTTTGTTCGCAATTTCACTTTGCCTGTCACGCCAATTGAATTAATTTCACCGCGGAATTTAGGATTTAATTTGACATTTAATTATTTCAATTAAAAGTGGCCTGCAAAGAGCAGCGTCAAAAAAAGAGGCCGAAAGCATAAAAGTTGCAGGATTATGATCACACAGAATGAAACGGAATTATGAAATTTTGTTGAAAAAACATTAAATTACTTTTACCAGTGGTTGACAACATAAAACATTACATTACATTGAAACTGTGGTGGGCGTCAAAGCTCGTAAGGTCAACAAAAACATGTTGTTCTATTTAATTCACTTAAATTTACTATTTAATTTTGGACTAGGAACACGTCGATAATAACATAAACAAAGCCTAATAAAAAAAACATTTTTGGGATACATACATATGTAAGTTAAATTGGGAATAGTGCAAGGCGACGCTCTTTTGATAAAATTGACTACAATTGGGGACATTACATTTAATTTTAGGGAGTTTTCATTGATTTCGAATTGTATGGAGCTGGAATGTGCCAGTAAATATTTATTCGAACTTCTTTTAATGTCATGTCTATATCATTATGTTTCAATATGTTTACTAGACAAAATTTCAGTCAGAAGTGTCTTCACTTCTGACCTTATAAAGTATACATATTGTTGATCATCGTCGCCAGGCCAATTTGTTTGCCTGTCCGCTTCAGCACAATGGTCTCTAGGCTTAAAAACTAACGGCTGCAACTTTTTTAAACGTTTTGTTGCTATTGCGACGAAAAAAATCCATCGACTAATTTATATGGCTGTCAATCATAGGAACTCTTGCTTGTCGAAGTTTTCGTACTTTTTATTGTCCTTTTTATATCGAAGAGTTATTTGTAACTGGTAGAAGGAAGTACCAAAAAGTATATATATTCTTGATCAGGGTCGTCAAATGGATTGATCTACATCTTTTTTTCCGTCCATGTTCTTATTATTCTAATTCTTAGGCAGCGCAGTTTCCTAACTTTTATTTACCACTCCAACTATTACGCCTACAGATCGCATTCTGTGGCTCCCAAAGTTCTTCTGTTACAACAAGAAAGGAAGCTAGATTCGGTAAGCTGAATCTTATATACCCTCGGAGTCACCAAATATGTCGAACAAAATATATAAAGGCTAAACAACATCGAAGCTAAGACGATTTTTTATTAATTTCCCATATTTTCGACTATTGTTTAAATGGCAGCGATATGATATAGTCGTCCGATTTTTACGAAATGAATCTTTTTTCCGTTATTTCTATATAGATTTTTATAACCTTGCAGAGCCAAGGGTATTATAATTTCGGTCAGAAGTTGGCAACGCAGTGAAGGAAACACCTCAGACCCCATAAAGTATATATATTCTTGATCAGCATCACGATCTGAATCGGAATACGTCTGTAGGCTGCCGCCTGTCCGTCTGTCCTCCTGTCTGTTTCTATATAAACTAATCTCTCAGTTTTAAAGCTATCTTGATGAAACTTTACCAAAAGTTGTGTAGTTGTGGTGTTTTCTAACTGCTATTGAATTTTGGATTAAATTTTATCAAAATCGGATAACTCTATTATATGTATAGCTGTCAAAGGAAATATCGAAAAATATATACATAAATAATGGAAAAAAAATTATAACGTCGTTGTTTTTAATCCCACGAGCATGATTTAAAAAATTTGGAGTTTATCAATAACCCTTGAATCGAAAAAATTGCATTAAAATCCGACAACGTTATCATATAGCTGCCATAGGAAAAATATCGAAAAATCTATATAGAAATAACGGAAATAAAATTATAACATCGTTGTTACTTTTGAATTACGAAATAAATTTCATAAAAATCGGACGACTATATCATATAGCTGTCATATGAAAAATAGTCGAAAAAATAGAAAATTAATAGAAAAATTGTCACAGCTTCGATATTGTTCAGTCTATATGTATTTTGTTCGACATATTTGATGTCTGCAAGGGTATATAAGTTTCGGCTTGCCGAAGCCAGCTTCTTTTATGTAACCTCGGGTGTATTAAAATTATAATTTTCATCAAAGTCAAGTGGCAATCGTGACTTCGGAAATGCTGTTTCTCTGAAAAAATGCCAGCCCTTTTACTATGTAGTTTTCGATTCATCTGCCACTATACCAAATACGACTACGTAAACAAGCTTTCCGAGAGCATTTCGCTCGTTTCGAGTTATCACTAAATTAATGGAAGCCCCGTCAAGTGTCAGATTTTGGGGGGAAACCAAACCGCTTTTGGCTGGGTTGTGTTTACAAATTTGTAGAGCGCTGCTCGTCAGCGCTAATGAATAGGTGGGGAGTGTTGTGCGAAATTATCAAATAAAACGGGCAGAAGACCACACAATTACACACAATATTTTCGCACACGCCCCCGATCGGAAGCAGAATAAACAACATGAGCACGAAATTCGGCTGCTGAAAGCAAGTGCATGGGGTTCGTGGTGGAATGCCTTGCAGTGAGCGACATAAAATATGCGAGGGCGCACATGCACAATCACACGCACATCACATACTATACACACACTGATCCACACACACACGCATCCGAGCGAAGCTGACACAGTGGGTGGGGGAATATTTTATGCACTTTATGCGGCTCGGACGGCGCTTGCTGCTGGGATCGCTAATTAGGCAATATGCACTTGATTGTGTTATAATCATTAAAACCGGAAATGCATGGCCTGCCCACATAACACAAACGAGCGAACTCCCTGCCACACGCACACATGCACTGCCGGGGGCTGTCAGGTGGCGGAGAACATTTCACTTCATATTTTTCGGGTCTGGGGCAAAAGTGTTTTGCCAAAGTTTCGGATTTCTATCGCGAAAAACAAATGGAGGTGCGCCTCCTTAACTTTGGCTAGAATTTACATTAGTTTCGAACATTTTTTCTAGATATAATCCCTACTTTCTTGAAGGACGAAAGTTTTTAAGGACTTTAATAACGACCATCCTTCCGCTCAAATGACGGAAAGTCACATCAATGGCCGCGCCGGAAACGGAAGTAGAGGCAAGCAAACACGTGTCGGAAAAATGTCTGCTTGCAACATTGTGTGTATGTGTGCCATGCACTCACACTTACTCTCACTCATACACTAACACCCCCGCAGCAGGCGCCGAACTGCATATGTAAAGCGGCTTGTAAGCTGGCCAATTTTTTATGCATTTATGCATTTACGTCCCCCCCGCAGCTGCAACCCCGCCCACCTCTCGCCCACTGGCCGCTTTTTATTAAAGTTGCCCGTTAAGAAAGCGCAGGAACCGCAGCACCCGACGGCACGCCCCTTCCCGCGCTGTTACCTCCGCCCAAACTCCGTTTTGTAGGTTAATCAAATGCAAGTCGAGGAAAATGCACAGCTTCGTGGAAAGGGGGAAAGTGCAACCGCTGCTTTTGGCCAGTTAGAGTGAGCGGGCGTTGGAGCAAACATTTTGCCATCTTTTTGTATACGCATCTCGCATGGCTTGTTATATTAAAAGAAATTTCCCGACCGAGGAGACAAGGCGTGGAAAACAAGTAGCGGCGTGGTGACTGACAGCCAAGATGGACGGCGCTGTGATTTGATTTTTATTCCGAGCGATGCACAGCAGCAGCTGGCAGCCAGTGAGCAGATGAGTTATTGCAAATGATGTAAGTGCCGGCACTAGATGGGGCTTTAATTAAACAGAGGAAAACCGACGCATAACTTAGTGTAATAATTAATATAAATCACAGTTTCGGCTTCCGAATTTGAGATGAGCTAATTTCTTTAATTTATTCAATTAAAATTTGGCTTAGACCTACAAATTAAAGCTATCACTCATAACTACATACTCTCAACTTTAGTTAATTGCAAACAATTCAAGTACACACATTTATGTGTGTGCAAATGGAAACTATATTCTTTGTAAGCAAGTAGATTCATATTACTTAAAAATGACAGCTATTTCGGTTTGCTGTATAGTATTTATCAAATTAGGTGTGTTAAAAACAAGAAAGGAAGCTAGCTTCGGCAAGCCGAAGCTTATATACCCTTGCAGTCATCAAACAAGCAGTCATCAAACTCGAAGCTATGACGACTTTTCTATTAATTTTCCATATTTTCGACTGTTGTTCATATGGCAGCTATATGATATAGTTGTCCGATTTTTATGAAATTTTTTTCTCGGTTCAAGGGTAGTTCATAAAGTCGATGTTGTAAAAATCATGCTCGTGGAATAAAAAACAACAACGTTATGATTATTTTGCCATTATTTCTATATATATTTTTTGATCTTTCCTATGGCAGCTGTATGATAGGGTTATCCGATTTTGATAAAATTTAATCCTTAATTCAATAACCGTTAGAAAACGCCATCTTGAAGAATTCAAGTCGATCTGATCAAAAACAACGGCGTAATAATTTTTTATCCTTTATTTTTTTGACCTCTTGTATGGGAGCTATCCGATATAGTCGGCCGATCCGGCTCGTTCCGACTTATATACTGCGTGCAATAACTACACAACTTTTTGAAAAGTTTCAACACGATAGCTTTAAAACTGAGAGACTAGTTTACATAGAAACCGACAGGAGGACAGACGGACAGACAGACAGACAGACAGACGGACAGACGGACAGACGGACAGACGGACAGACGGACAGACGTACATACATATTTCGATTCAGATGTTGATGCTGATCAAGAATATATATACTTTATGGGGTCTGAGGTGTCTCCTTCACTGCGTTGCAAACTTCTGACTGAAATTATAATACCCTTTTGCTCTGCAAGGGTATAAAGATAAGCTATGTCGATTGTATTATATGTATTTTTTCTGCTGTACATTTGCTTATATGCTTTAAAACAACGTTTTAATTGTGTTTCCATAAATTTAGTAGTTCGCATCCTACGGCAGCTTTATGATATTGGCTTCGGATCATGATATTAACGTAACCAGAAAAACAAGAGGAGTAGCTGCCCATAGGTATACCCGTTAAATAATAAATATACCCTTTTTACTTTTTTACTGAAAAAAAAAAATATCAGTTACTAAATTTTAATAGGTGTCTAAACTTTTCCACCCCAAGAATTTGCATGTTCAAATAGATATCTTTATATCTTAATAAATAATTATTCTTGGCAAAAACTAATTTTTTAAATAGTTTCCATTTGAGGTTACAAAATGTTAAAAAAAGGCTGAACCATACAAACTCAAATTTTTTTGCTCTCACTTGTTTTTATATATTTTGATATATAACTAATATATTTGTGGGTAGAAAAATGTACTATATAAGAAACATTGAACTTTTTTGGTAAGAACAGTACCAGCAAAACAAAAATCTGAGTGATATCTTCAGTTGTGTCCTAAGATTAATATTCTAATTCCGATGAACTCCGCACATATTTTGAGCGGAACGAAATACTAGTTGGGATAATTTTTCTCTTAATGCCATTTCATGCATATTACCAGAGACAGTTACCGGTCTCCAAAACGAAACAAGCCCCAATCTAGCCCCTTCCAGTTAGGTTGACATCAATGAGCCCTTTATTTGGCATTCTGCTGCAGTTTTTGACACGCGAAAGTAGCAAAAAATGGTTGTCAAATAAAATAAAAAAACAAGACGGATAAGGGTAAAATGTATGGTGAAAGAAATGCAGGAATTATGCAATGGGACGAAACATAAAAAAACGATTCTTTTAACGTTTTAATAACAAAACTAATATTATTAATTGCGCAGACTATGTGATATTCGCAAAAAAGGTTAGTTATTTAAATTTGTGGTTATATAAATGTATACAATTTTTTATTTGTTTATGTGTATTTTTATTTCATTTTCAATGTTTCATGGCTATGAAGTATTCAAATAATCTTTATTTTAAAGAAAACATTTAGAGAACAGACATTTTTTATGCGTATAATTTTGTAGCAGACAGTTAACCATTCGGTTTATGACTCCAAAATATCCGGTATTTATAAATTTTATGTTTGTAAACAAAGAGCGAAACTCAATTCGCTGGTATCCCATCAGTTGGCAAGCAATTTGGTCATAACCAATGTACGAGTACAAAATCCCTTTTGCCCGTCGAGCGACGGGTATGAAGAGCAGTGTCCTGAGGGAGATATCGTTTGTTACTTCATTTCCGAGGCAGCCCGGCGAAAAAGCCCGAGAAAGCATGAATGCCGTGGATTAGCAACTGTCACTGACAGTTGGAAATCATAGACGCCATTTAGCTGGCTGCAAATCGCTGGCCGCATTTCTTTGTTTGTCATTTAACGATTGACAGCTGGCGATAAACAGAACGAAACGAAACGAAACGCGGCAGTACGGGGACCTGGCTAAAATGAAGGCTGCCAATGAGCGAAATGAAAACAGTTTCATGAAAGGTGGGACCCCGCCCAGCCATCAAATAGAAATGTTAATGACGCACCCGGCCCACATCGAAAAGGTGTCAACTGCCTTGACTTTTTACTCCGCCGGATTGCCTAGTTAACCGCCCATCGGCCAGGGAATTCGTGTCCTTTCCTTGTCCGACCATTTATCATTATCACGTTGGCGGACTGGTCGGCCCATTTGCCTTGGGAACAGCAGATGGGTCTCCGGGTCTCTAAGCTGTTTATCAAAGATAGCGGAAGACCAAGGAAACAATGGCCGACGAAATGCGATGCCGAATCTCTTCTTAACTCCAGTCACTTGGGAGTCTCCTTCGATAGGGGATATCACTCATAATTTGGTGGATGTGGATAATTGATGCTGGCAAGGCAGTGCTGTTAAGGGATAATGCTGGTTTAAACAATAATAATACAAATATGTTAAAAAAATCTAATTAAAGTGATATTGCCCTCCTCTGCAAGGATGTTATATTATGACTTTTTCAAAAAATTTGTGTGCATCAATCTTATGCCTCCCTCTTGCAGTCTTTCTTGACCTGATCTTGGGTTGAGAAGCTGAATTAACCGAATATATAATATTTTAAATCGCTTCTGTACTATTAGGGTTGTATGTACCATATAATTTCACGGTTTTTTAAGTCACCTTGTGCATTTAACTACACTTGAATAAATTATACTTCTTTACTCTAACCCGCACGAATAGAAGGGTTAGATATAGGCTGCTTCACTTTATAAATATTAAAAAACAATTGCCATAATAACTTGGTAACTTGGTTACGCCTCTAAAATGTTTGAAGTAGAGTAATCTCCATCCAAATGAAAGGGTTATTTTTAATTGTAAACAAACGTGGAAACATTTTAGAATGTTTGTTAAAACATTAATAAGCCTTCCAGTTTCACGAGACTCTGTTGTTGCCATGCGTGTCAGCCGTTTAAGCCAATTTATGAAATAAGAAGCCATTTGTCACGTTTCGTTCAAGTTTTCAGCACACCCCTGTTATCTCCTTTATGCAGTCGGTTCCCTTTTCTCTTTTACCCTTTTGCAGCGCTTTATGTGTCTGCTATCTTTATGATTTGGCCAGCGAACACAGCGAGCAGACAATCCCGCCAAACAATGCCGCAAATGGCCAAAGGCCAAAGGCCACGCAAAGGTGACAGAGCGCTGGCGAAAGAATAATAATAGCGGAATCCAACCCGGCATTATTTTTCATTAATTTCCACCGGTCAACTGATTACATAGCAGCGAATGGGCGGCAGACAAGGATGATCTGCGGTGGCAACATTAAGCAGATAATGGTAATATTAATAATGGAAATGGCAGACCCTTTCCGACCCATCGATAAAACGTTGGCCGGGCTGCCGTGGAAATCATGGCCAGGGATCTGACCGCAATTAGTTGATTGCCAGCACTCAATTTCTTCAAAGATGGCAAGTGCTTTCAATTTCATAAGGAGCAACTCCATATTCCTGCCTGCTATCTGGTATCTAGCCTTAACCATCTCTGCCACTTTCTATGGGCCACACTCGACGGGAAATTAAACTTGTCCAAAAGTTTAAATGCCTTTCTGCCGCTTTCCGTTGCGTTGCGCTTGACTTTTGTTTTCAAGTTTCTCCAGATTCCCCGTTGGCCTGGCCGCGTCTTGTGCGGCTTCTTTCAACTCATTTCCCCCATCTGCCTTCCCCGGAGTGAATGTGTTTCCTCGGCTTGAGTTTTCTAATATGGCCGCTCCCAGCAATTAAAGAAAACTCCGGCCTTCGCCTACGAAATGTATAAATGATACATATAGGAGTGGAGTGGAGTGGCACATCTTCCCAGAGGAGGCTAAATACGAAGCCGAAAACGACTTGCGGTTCGAAATGCTGCACTTTGCTTATGTGGTGGCAAGTGAGGCATGTCAAGTTGCCCAACCGCCCCGTCTACTTTCATAAATTGGACGAAGCCAGTGCGTATTTCAAGGGCCTACTCCACTTCCCTTCCAAACCTCATTCGAGTCAAGTTGTATTTTGAGCAAATACTTAGTACATTTACGAACATAGATAAGTTGTATGCTTTAAGAATACGCCCATGTAACCAAAGTTTTGCAAAAACCTAACAAGTTAATATGCGCCTCCTTGTTTTTAAATTCGATGTTGTAACATCGTGGACAACGTTTAATTACATATTATTCTGCTAGGATAAAGTTAAAAAATAACACCGCTTTCCAATTTCCAGAAAAAGTACGCTGATGAAAATAAAAAAAAAAAATCATAGTAAAATTGTATGCCGTTTGCTTATGGGCGTGGATTTTACGGATTCGTCGGCCTTGTAGTGTTCGTTGCACCATGTTGCTATGTTACTTGCTCATGTAGTTTTCAAAATTTCTATGTTTATGTAGATGAACGAATCGACTCGTCTGATACTTGTTAAGCAACTAAAGCAGTAGTAGTAATCCTAAACAAATTTTGAAACTTATTAGTTTTTATTTTATGGACAAAAGGACAATTGCAGGAGACTAATAATATTAATTCAATGTATATTTATTAAACTGTCACTGTCACTAGTCCCCTCTTGTTAACAATTCTGCCCTTCGTTTTCATCCTAATATATGGTCCTGAATAATGCATAAATACCACAGCAATCAGGGGGGATCGCGGGCTGAGCAGGTGCATGGATAATGCGACTATATTCAATAATAAAAAATAAATAATTAATGCAGCGCCAGAGAGGAGGAAACAGTGGCCATTATATATGGGCTAAAAGTTAAAAGCATGTCACTCGATTCGCATAAATAACTTACATGGACTGAATATTGTTTTTTCGCCTTCCTATTTGCAGCAGAAGGCATCCGTGGGGACTCGAATCTGGCTCGACGTTCGTTGTGATGCATCGGAAATGTTTTCCAACTTCTACTCGGCCGAGAGCTGAGCAAAGGGATGTGCATAAATACTTGAGAGTTGCGGAGAATCGAAAGTGAAGCGGAGGAGCTAGAGGAGCTAGAGGAAGGATCCCAGCAGCAGCCAAGTGCCGAGCAATCAGAGGACAAACAATTACCGAAGAGGACGGGAGAAGGAGCAGCCGGACCGGCGCTGGCAAATAAAAATGAAAATTAAAATATTTCCGCTGACAGCGGATGCAGCGACGATTGCCGCGCGTCGCCAGCAACGGGAAGCGGGAGGGGGAGGGGGAGGGTTGGAGGGGTTGGACAAGGGGAAGGGGAAGCTGCGGCGGAAGCGAGAAATGCCGGAAATACCCCCACGGCTAATTGTTGCCGCTGCCACCGCCGCAGTCTCGCTCCTCTGCCTCTCCTTCTCCTTCTCGCCTTCTCTCTGCGCCGCCCAGGAGAGCGACGACGAGGGGGAGCTGCTTCACCTGGACCAGCTGCACCACCAGCACCAGGAGTTCGTCATCGGGGAGTCCGAGGAGCACGATCACATCGCCCACCACCTGGGTGAGTACAGACGGAGCAGATCCGAGTCATGAGCAGGTGAAACCAAGATTTTACCTGCTCATGCAAAGCAATCGAGAAGTGGAGTAAGCAGGGATACCAGCTGACTCTTTTTCTTTGTGTATAACTACAAACAATCTTTGTCGTACGAGATGTAGTAGAGATAATTTTGGTGTTATTTAGAGCACTTAACTTATATAATAAATTAAAAACAGATAACCTTTTTTTCTTATTATAAAATACAACTGGCACCATCATGCTGTTCGATGCTTAACAAAGGAATGCATTCCAGAACCCAAATACCCGAAATCAGGATTTAGTCTCTGATATATTTTAAATCTCTACCCAACAGTTACTCTACCCGAAGTTACAGTATACTTCGAATCTTCCTTTTATTCTGTACGGCATTATACTGAAAGATATAGTATTTTCCCGTTTTCGATTTTTCCTTAAAGTGACTGATAGTCCCATTGCTTAGCACCCTCCTCATTAGCATCAAACCACTAAGCTATCGTAAACGAATGGCATTTTCCTTCTTGCAATCGTGGTGGATTCCACACTCACACTTTCCTTGCACTCACAAATTCCTTTGGGCTGGAAGATGTCTCTTCCTGCCAGCGAATAGATTTGTCATCCTCCGTCAGTTTGCGACCAGCGTAATCGAACAGGACTTTGGCCCCATCCATTCGACTTGGTTTGTGTGTGCTGGTCGCAAGGTCGAATTTGACGCCTTTGCCAAGTGCTAACAAAAAGTTTTGAGTGGCTTAAGCCCTGCACCCTCGCCAAAGTTATCTGGGTGTCATTTCAAGTGAATTATGTGACTGGCAGTCTGGCCGGTTCCAAAAACAGCTTGGCTCATTGGGCAAATACTAAGGGTGAGGAAGGGACAGGGAAAGCGGAAGGGGGAGGGAAGGGGGAGCGAATAAACCCCTCGGGGGGAGACGAGTCTGAAGCACGTGCTTGGTTAGCTTTAGTGGCTGTTTAAGTTGTCATTGTCCGCCCAGGGCCCACAGCATAATTAAGGGGCACACATGGCGTATGCGTATTCTGGCTTACTCCTGACCTGACACACGCTTTCCCACTCTTGGCCCCTCCCCTTTCCTCCGGGCTCACACACAAGTGACCACTTAAGTTTTCTTTGTCTACGGCTTGTGGGCAGCAAGCCGAATCCTGCGCCTCCGCATCCTCCGCATCCTGTCCCTATCCCCATCCCCATCCTCTATTCCTTTTGCTGGAGCGGCTCAACAAGTGGACAAACGTTGACATTGCACACAGTGTTCAACCTCTGGAAATATATATTCTCCCCTGCGAATGTGTGTGTGCTGGTGGTGGTATCTACTTATGGCTAAAAGTGATTGACATTGTGATTGATGGAGCTTTGGGTCGTCAGATCTGGGTTTATGACTTGACATGATGGCCAACTGTCCCGCAGAGGACCCATGAATTTCCAGAAAAGCTTAAGTGAAATTCGAAACTTTCACCTATCAAGCATTTTCATATCAGCTTAAACAAATTTGTTTCGTTAACTTTTTGTGTAAGTTTTGAATTTATTTTTTTGAATTTAAAACGAAAATAATTTCGAATTAAAAAACGAAAATAATTGGAAAGTAATCAAAAAGTATTTTAATTAACAATATAAGTTATAATAGTAGAAAAGGACCTGATAATTTCTGTCAGGAGCAATAAACTATCAAAAGGAAGCTCACGTTATTTCCTAATTTATTTATTAGTTCCTTTGTAATAGAAAGATATTAATTAAATTACTACTAGCTTATTTCTAAAGCGCTGGCTGCAAAGGGTTTCGGCTTGCGTGATTATCTTATTTATCTGAAAACAATAATATACTTGGTGACGAAAATTTTCTTTGTGTTTACTTGCCATAAAATTTCAGATTCAGAAACAAAAAAAAATATATGTATATATTAAAGATGTGCGATATATGTTATACTGTTGCAACTGAATTCTATCCCATATTACTATCGAACCAGGCAGACTTGTCAAAAGGAAAATCGTAATTAACAGTCTTTAAAAAACAACCAAATCAGTTCGGTCAAAATGCGTGTAAAAACCTTTATTTACATACAAAGTATCAGCAACCAAAATGTCCACAAGAAACCGGTGTTTCAAGAAATAAACTCAAAGAAAATTTAGGCACACTAAAAACAAAAACAAACAAACAAAATTCGCAACACTTAGGGGAAAATTTCCCAGCTGTCATTTTTGATTCGCGTTCTTTAGTGTTTTAGAGTTATTAAGAAGATTTACAATAGGAGATTTATAGAAGATTTACAAGAGAGAAACTATCTTGCCTTTGTTTTTATATGCGTACTAATGTGCATTTGTGATATACCTAGGTATAGTAACAAGAAAAAAGTACAAGTTTTTATTTTTTAAGGTAAAGTTTTTAAAAAAAAATGAAAAGGGAGTTCTTAAAAATAAATTGTTACAAAATAGAAAGACTAAACTACGGAAGTTTATCCTACTTTATACCTATTATCCCTAATCAAAAAGGCCCTTTCACCAGTCAAAAGTTAAAAAGCAGTTCAATTCAAGAATGTAACGCCGAATCAAGAGCCAAAGTTGTTTGCAAATATTTGGATCTCGACACTGATGACCAGCCAATTTGCCGAATAAAAAGCGATTTCCGCCAATTCACAGTCAGCATGAGTTTTTAAAAATCTATGTTATGCCCCAAAACTGCGGATGCATCAAAGTCGAGTTACTGCACCTAAGCGCTCTATTTGGGTTTCAGTTGGGTGTCAATGATCCGCGGAGAAGCTTTGCTTTAGTCAAATTTAATTTCCATATGATTTTTCCCAATCCACGCTCGCCGCACTTCCTCTTCCACCGCTCGACGACTTTTTGCAGCTGCAATAGCCGCTGATGTGCAGGCAATTGTTTGACAATTTTTCAACAATTTCTCCACGGACTGCAAAAATGTTTCGCCCCTTTCCACTTTCTCCGCTCCCCGCGCTCTGTGTCAATTCCCCTTTATTCGCAACCATTTGCCGGTTGTCTATGCCCTGTGTTTGTGTTTGTATTTGTGTTTGTGTTTGGGTTTGTGCTGGTGTTGGTGTTTGGCTCTGTGCGTGTTGGCTTTTTTCACACGCTTTCGCGCTGCAGCTGAAAGTATGCGCGACTTTTTCACGCTGGGCTTGGCTACAAGGACCGGCAGCCAAGCGCATGAGCTGCCGAGTGGAGCGGTAATCAAAGTGGGCGGCGTAGAGGGGAAGGGGGAGGGGGGGCGGTGCTCCTGGACTGCAGGACAATCACGGGGATGTTGGCCTTTGAGGCCGTGCTGTCGTTTATTTGCCTTGGTTCTCGTAATTTGTGTTTTATGTTTCATGTTGGCCGTCGTTGTTTTTCTTTCCCCTGCTGTCGCGCTTTTCCGCAGTTGCCTCCCGGCAAGTACTTGTTTAAGCTCCATTTTCCGCTCTCCGCCGCCGTTTGAAGATGCCTTGCTGTCGCTCCGATTCCCCACCTGATCTCAATCAAATGCGCAGTCAAATTTAATTTGCCGAATGTTGATCTTTGGCCAGGGGACTTTCTTTCCCCAGCTGGACATCAAAAGCGGCGCTCCGCTCAATTAACCGAAGTTTTCGCTGCCCGAAACGAGCACACAAATCGAAGCTGCAAGGAAATGAAGAGACCAGCAAGTTCTCCTCCTGCCAATTCGAAAGTCTTTCCTCGTTCTCTGTTCGCTGTGGGAAATGCAGGAAAGTTGCAACAAAGTGTTATCGGGTTTCCCGCTCCGGAACGCGCCTCATCACGTCCGCAAGCTGATGCGCTGCCAAAGTTGGCTTAGAAACTTGCCCGGCGGGAGATTGATGAGCGGGCCGTGAAGGTGTTGCGCGCAGATAAGACGCACTCGCGTCGAAGGATTTCGGCCGTCTTCCTCCTGGGAGGGAGCCGTGTAAACGCGGCTAATTGGAATCATTAGCCGGGCAGAGCAAACACTTGCAGGCACTCGGGAATCATAGACAAATTTGCGCAATTTCGGGCAGTTGTTGACACCTCCCAAAATGATAATCCGGCGATTCCCCGCCTCCGCCTCCGGCTGCCTGCTGCCTGTCTAGCGGGCCAATAAATCATCTGGGCCGCCGGCAGACAGCGCAGGAGAATTGGCTTAAATGCGTTAGGAAAATCAACAGCGCTGTCTGTGGCAGCAGGTGCTCGGCTTCCCAGGCCGGCCTTCCGCTCTTACCGCAAATAAAGGAGGAGCATGTATTAAAGCCGCCTTTCAGAGAGGGCCTAAAGCCCAAAGACCAAAGCCCTCCTCGGATGTGCGCGTTTTTGTTGCATAATTTTCGGGGCTCTGCGAAATACACTCTCATTTGTTTGCCCTTGTTTTTTCAGTTTTGTTTTGGCTACGCCTTCGCCGTGTTCGGCTGTTCCTGCTTCCTGTAACTACGTGTTCCCCCTCCCCATCCCCATCCCATCCCCCATCCCCCATCCCCTCCCCGACCTGCCACATTGTCTGCCAGCGACAATGTTCGGATGGAAAATTTAAGGCATATTTCTTGGCGCTGGGCCGCGGCAAAAATGGCATAATAAATAAATCTACTTTGAATTAGCGCCATTTACTTTACATTTATTCTCTGCCGCCGTGAAATTTATAGCGCTCAACGCACTCTTCCCTGCTTTCCGTTTTTTATTTGAAGATATTTCGCGTTTGTTGTTTCTGTCGTTTCAATTTGGCGGCGCGTGCTTTTTGGCTAATGAAGTTTTGAGGTTAGACAGCAGGAAAATGGGAGCTGCCTCGAGGTGTGCAGCTAAGTGGACATGAAGTGCGCCTCGCTTTAAGATAATTTGGGAAGAACATGGGAACCAAATCGAAGAAAATTATATGGCCGACCGAGCCTCTTTTTTGAGGTATATTCTCACTTTAAGGGTGTTTGAATAAAATGACAAATCGTGGCATTAAAGTACGTTTGTATTAAGTCATTATTAACTATTAAAATTGTTTTATCTTTATACTCGTTATGGACAAACGTTTTCATAAGTTAAAAAATTAAAGTTGTACATCTACTACAACTATATTACTATAGAGTTAACATCCTAAAGTTTTTGATAACTCCGTTAAAAATTATATTAGTTAATCAATATATAATAATAAAAATAATACAGAAATTTAAATCCGTAAAGTGATAATTTCTTTGAAGTATCTTCCGGAAACCGTTCTTTAATACATGATTTTTTTTATTGTTTATTTATTAGGTGGAGAATCTGTGCAGCAATTTAAAATTCCTTATTTATACTTTTTTTCAGTAAAAAAAAGTTAAAAGTGTATATTTATTAAGAATTAACGGGTATACTGCTAGCAGGTTGTAAATATTGGGGATAGGGGATAACAAGGCTGGTACATTAATTCTATTCTTTTGTAATTCAATTAGATCACACTTCTAGGGCATTAAATATATCTTAATGGAAGGTCATGTGGGTGGTATCTTTTAAGTCTTCTTTTGTTGGTCTCATAATTAGCCTCTTCGCCACGGAGTTAGGATGAGAGCCAAGGTGTCTGAAGTAGTTTTCAGCATGCGTTCGATAAACATCGTCTTAACAATACAGGGGTTAATAAATGAATGACAGTTAATCAATAAAACAGGATTAAATGTTTGCTCGTTAAAAAATTATTTAATTTAAGTTGTTAAAAATCGCGATTTAAACACTAACTCTTTACACTTGCAAGAGTTATATGCTTTTAGCCTTAATTTTTTTAGGCTTATAAATGATAATCTCGTTGTATGGATTTTCATAAATTCCTTGCATTAAATTGGTGTTATTAAATGTCGAACGTTGCTGCAATTATATAAGCAAAATGCGTTGAAGTAGGAATGTGTTCAAATACGAGCTATATAAACCACAAGAGGTCTGTTTTCTGTCAGTGGAGCTTTAATGTTGAGCCGAGAAAGGCAAGCAATGTTTCTTTTCTAAGCTGGCTTCTTTATCAGAGATTCGGCTACTGTGTAGCCGCTTTGCCACTGCCACAGAGTTTCCCGCAATCTCGAAATGCTCATCGCAACCCCCGGGATGCAAGGGGCCTCCCTTCCCCACCTTCATTAAGTTCGGATCTGAATCTTTCACGGTCACGTCGTATTGCCTGCAAATCACGTCATTCTAAGCACAGAAAGAGCAACAAAGACGGAGCGGAATAGTGAACTTTTTGGGCAACTTTCGGAACACTTTCTTTCGGGTTTACGTGAGGCGTCTCGAGCGGAGGCACGTAGCAGTGCCTGGAAACATTTGTTGGCCCGCTCGATGCGTTTTCCCTGTCTGCACATGGACCGAAAGCCACAAGAAGGGGAATTCACTGGCTTTGCTAGAATCTAGAGAAATGGGAAGTGACGGCGCCTGCGAGTATGCAACCCGAAATATTACAAACAGCAGCCACACAAAAGTTGTTCGCAGCAGTTGATTCTTCCTCTCTCCCGGTTTCCCAGCAATTCCTCGAGCGTACGTACGAGAAATCGAATTTATTGCATACTTTTGTGCGTTTGCGGCTGCCACAAAATGTATTTGCATTGCCAGCCAGATGCGACAGTTGTGGGCAGAGTCGCAAGAGTCGGAAAAGTGGGAAGAGTCGGAAAAGGGGGAAAAGGGGGAAAAGCCGGAACAGCCGCCCCCTGCCCAGTTAGCATGTGCTATGCGATATTGAAATGCAGACGGCTTCGACTCGAGACGTCGCAACACGAAAATTAATTGAAAATTCGGCGCCCAGTCCCCGTTTTTCCTCGTATCTACCGTATCTGCCTTCCCTTCGCCTCGGCTCCGTTCTGCGACTTTTCCGGACGGGAATCCATTTGCTCTATTGACTCGTCTGTCTGCACGCACGGAGACTCGCGTTCAAGGTCTCCCCCGGTTATAGATGACATTATTTTACGGCACAGTCGGAGTTCACGGAAAACGCCGTTCAGGAGTATGTGTGCCAAGGTGCCGGGCAAATGGAAATGGGAATGGAAATCAATAACAAAGTAGTCGGCGACCGGAGAAAACGTTATTTTTGTGCCGAACTCGCTCAAAGAGAAACAATTTAAATTAATTGTAGCCCAAACTCAGTGTACAATATACACATCCATATTATTTTGGTAAATTAGTAGATTTATTCGGGGCAAATTAACTTATGTGATTTGCTCTCCCGCCGGATTTCCCCAAGGCCGTCGTGCAATTCGTGTTTGCGCATTCAAAGCGCGAGCTCATAAACTCTAATATATTTACCCATTTGTTGGCACTGCTGAATATTTTATGGCGCGTGCCCGAAAATGCATTTACCTGTTACCCCTGGGAATCGATCCCTTCCCCATTATCGATTTCAGCTGCTCCGCCGATGCAGCTGCACAAAAGTCAAATTGCAACTTCATTTTGTGGCTGCGAAAATTACAAGCGAGCGTCTGCAAGAAGGGCGCCGAGAAAAGACCTTAAAATATTGGAAAAGTTCACGAAGCGAGAAGTTTTCCTCCCTTGGTATTCTGGGCGTGTTGGGTGCGGTTTTGGGGTTTCAGCTTGCCAATTGCAGGGAGTGCGGAGGGGCAGGGGATCTGTTTATATTCCTTACACACTCCGCACCGCAAATTGAATTTGCACTAAGGATAACCAAGCCAATATTAACTACCTCTCTAAATGCGCACTTTCTCCCTCGTTCCTCTCGTTCCGCCTCCCTTCGACGGATGAACTCTCAACTCTTTTCATGGCTCGACGGCTCTCGGAATGAAAACTCGCAGCGGAAATGCAAAATAAGGATGAGCTACTTGAGGACATACGCGAGGACTCGGTCGTCAATGCGATTCCGGAGAAAGGTAAGTCAGTTGCTATTCCACCCAAAGCTATTCCACCCGTTACACAACTTAAGGTTTCACATTCACGGGGTCTACAGACGTTTTTCTACCCCCTCAATGCACATTTGCTCCGAACGCATTTAAAGCGCTTATGAAAAACATAGATGTGTTCCACAAGAACGTTAAGCTGTACTATTAAACCATAAAATATAAGGAAAATATTACAGGACTAATTAACTGAAGATTAACTATTTCAACCAAAGAATAGGGGCTTTTATTTTCGTGGTTGATTGGCATAACATAACTAATAACTAATTAAAATAGTGTGATTTTGCCTCTATTAATTGTAGGGAACAATAGCACAAATATTTTATAAATGCAGCCATAATGAAGATTTGCCTACTTTAATCAAACAAATCAATTGACCATGCACTTTGACATTCGCTTGTTGAAGAAGCCACATTAAACAGCAGGTATATTATTGCTAAATTATTAAGTGCGTACCAGCACGGGGACTTCGGCTTCGGCTTTACTAACCCCGCTCAAATTAAGCCAATATTATTAATGTTGTAATAATAATAATATTATAATATTATTAATAATGCTTTTTCAGATAATGTACTAAAGAATCAAATTGCTTACATTGAAAAGTTAAACAAGTTTTTAAAAGACTTAAAACATTTAAATGAAACTAAATATTATTTTGTTTTTGATTGTTCTTAACAACAAAACCGATAACGACCGATAACGAATCATAAAACGTCAGACTTAAATAAACGATTAATGGGTGTAACAATCTACTATGTTTCGATGTTATAAAACCAAGAATGTATGATAACATGGATTTTATCAATCAGCAGAGCAAAGCACTGATCATTCCTAAAAGTCTGTCCGTCCATTGATTTACCAACTACTCGTATGAATATTTGCAGTAATTAATTGTCAGCCGGATGATGGTCACATCCACCGTGTTCCTTTTGTATCCCCTAAACTTATCCCCACTGTCGTCACGTGCTCAGTGCTTGTCAGCCTTCCCCTCCCCTCCCCTCCTCCTTCCACTGCCCCTGCCCCTGTCTCAACCCGGCGCCATTAAGTCAGTCGCTCTCCCCGCGCTCTCCCTTCCCGCCCGCCGCCTTCCCATCCCCTCGAGTGTCTTTGAATGCGAGCTGCTTTGCTCTTGTCGCAGTCTTTTGCTCGCTTTTAAATTTTATTTATTGTAAATTGTATTTGAAACGTGCTGAGGTTCAGTTTTCTCTGCAGTGGGGACGGCGGACAAATGTCGGGCTTGCCCTTGGCATGGATATGGGATGTAGGATATGCGATGTAGGATATGGGATATGGGATATGGGATATAGGATATGGGAGAAAGTAAGGCTGCCTGCACGGGTGTGTGTATATCTCGAACACATCTCGCGAGAGTGTGCTGGTGTGTCGTGCAACTTAATAGAGTTGTTTAGCATTTAAATAGCGCCATTTACTTGTTGTTGCTGCCCCTGGATGTTGCTGTTGCGCTTATTAAGTTGAAATGCCAGTCAAGTCGACTCGACTTAATAAAGTTCGCCCAAAGCAGCGGAAGGAAAGTGGGAAATTGTGCCTAGTGAGCTTGAGAAAGCGGTCCATTAGGCACTGGCAACTAAGCCAAAGTAGTTTATAATATTAAATGGGAGCCTCGTTCAGGCGCAGTTCTGCGTTTTCGGATTGCATCTGCTCCGGCCACTTTAAGATGTTCCGACTGAGCTGAAAGTATCTCAAAGGTGGGCCTCATTCCGCTTCAGCTCGGGTATTCGAGGCCCTGAGCACACAAAGGCGTCGCTAAACGGCGATTTGCAATTTCTTCCCCTACATCATAAACATTATGCTAAGCACTCTGAGCTGCGAGGATTTCTGCGGCATATATCCACTTCGGATCCAAGGCAAATGCCCATTAAATCCTAATTTCATATGCCCATAAATCCACTAAACAATCACACTTTCAATCCCAAGACGAAGCGCAAAATATGTAACAAATTTCCCCATATTCACACACGACCGCCTCGCTGAAAGTATGCCATAAAAGCCCCTCCCCCAAACACACACACACACAGCTCATCCCCATTGTGTGGACCTATAAATGTATCAATGAGCGGAGGCAAATCAAATGAGTTGGCAGAAGGCGGCAGACGATGACAAAACAGTTTGCCACGGAGCACAGGACCGAAACTCTCCTGACGAATCGAAGCGAAGGCTGTGTAATCGAGCTTATTAGTGGGGCTACTCTGGGATTGCCTCCATTATTGTTGTCAAGTGGGGCGCACGAGAGATACCACGTGAAAGCTAAGAAATGCCCTCTCACATCTGATCCTTGAATGGGGATTATCTTACGAAGTAAAAACTTCCAACGTAAACCAATCAAACATAACAGTCATGTTATGCTACCCAAAATGTATAATAAAAGTATTTTAATTCAAATGGTAACCGTAAGATCGTATAGGGTCCAAGTCTGAAATAATTCGGATTAAAGTAAACAGACTGTCATAAGTTTGACCGTTTGAATATTTCTTTTGGCAGCTCCTTCATCCTTTCGCATTTAGGAAGACCGTTTGGTCACCTGAGCGATATCACGTATATTATTCCTACTGACGTTCTACGAAACGATGTCCTCACAGAACGACTCACAGCCGGCCATTACCCCGAATGCCAGGGTATCGTTGACAACTCGAAACGTGATGTTCAGAAAGAGATTAGGCGGCAATAAACGGCGGAATGGGGACGCACAAACCGCCATGCGGAAAGTTGTCCTCCGCCGACGCTGCGCCTTTCCCCGCCGCAATTGAGATTTACGGCCGCATCAATAAACATCAAAAAACTCTCCCCGCCGCTTTCTTGGCCATCACCCTTGCTTATCGCCTTGTTTACGCATTTTAAGTACAAGATTGTTATGTGTTGATTTGGCTGAACCGATGCGTGCCCCGCATGTGAGAAAAAGCCTCCGTCTGGCTCCCCGCTTTCCCTGCATACACAAATGTTTTTATTTTACTTTTCTTTTTTATTTTATTATTTTATTCCGGAGCGTATGCGGAGCGCAAACTTCGTTGGGGTTGCCGAGCATGTCAGCGACAAACAAGCGCAAACCCAAACACAAACATAAAGCGGTGGCGTGAGGCGGCTAAGTTTTGAGCCCCGCCCCTTTCACCCTCCCCCCACTTTCACCTCCTCCAGCAAACCGCAAATCTGTTGCATACTTGCGGGCGCCTTTAAAGTCAACGCGCTTTTCCAACGCTTCGCCGAGCACTTGCGTTGGTGGGTGGCTCCGTGGGAGGCGGTCCTTTGATTGACTGGTTGAGAACTGGCTGACAGGCCGGTCTAGGCCACGACTGTTGATGTGGATGTTGACGGAGAGGTTGACGTGGGTTATGCTTAGTACAGCGGAATGGTCTCCATCTCCATCTAAAGTCCACTGATATCCCATGTAAATCAGGGGTAGCAAATTAAATTAAATTAAATGCAGTATTCTGTAGCTTCCAGCGATTTATTTTGCGTAAACTGTCATTTAACTGAAAGGTGATCCGCGTACACATTTTATTTTGCAACAATGGAGTTAACTCAGGACCTTCACAACTCAAGGTCAACCGTATTAACCCTTTAAAGTGAAAATGACATAATTGTAAAAGGATGCTTTGAGTTTCATAAGTACTTGAAAGTAAAAAATCCGGTTTTTGCGATAAGTAATTCAGAAAAATGCATTTATAATTTTATAATATATAAAATTACACTTTATTTAAAATATAGTCACTCTCATTGTTGATTTTATGGTCGAATTGTCTTAGAATTATGGCTCTTAACTTCAACACAAGATTCCAAGTTAAGCTCCCCTATTCTAAGACAAGTTCGCCATTGGGCTGAGATGGATTCTCATTACTGGGACTGATTATTTTAATTAGAGTGGCGTTGCGCTTTTGTCCATTCGAAACAAAGGTAGATACAGATGTTTCAAACTTCGAATATAGGAAACAACCTGATAAATACCTTGTTTTAGATTAGATTAAAAGCGAGTGAGGCACTCATCATCTCTCCCCTCTTCCAGATCTTCCCAAGTTCGGAGAGCTGTTGCAAAACGTGACTGTTCCCGTGAGTCGGGAGGCAGTTCTCCAGTGTGTAGTCGACAACTTGCAGACCTACAAGGTGAGTTGTGATCCTTTCTTTCATTTAAAATAAATATATCGTGTTAATATCGTACTGCAAACACTCTTTCCAACACGAAAAACTGGGATTATTAAAATGTTACAAGATTTTTATCTAAGTTGATCTCTATTTAGCAGAGATTACACATAATAAACTCGTACAAGATGGGTTACTATAGAACTGAAAATAAACACTGAATTGGGGTCTATTAAGTCTCAAAATGAAATGAGCCTCTCGATCACTTAAAATGTCTCACTTGTTTGCTTAATTCAAAAGTTTATGGCACACACAAAAAGGGTTTCGGAACAGTGTGTGCTGTCAGTCAAAACCATTTGCACTCCATTGGCTGAAACGTGGCTGTTTGGGGCCTGGCTTTCCACCTTTGCGTGACGAACTCCGGCTGAGTTGACCCTTTTGCTGGGCACGTTTCGGGCCCCATGGGCGTCACTTTGATTTCGTGTCACATTAAAAGGTAAACAAAACGGAAAATAAATCCCAATGAATTGCCGAAACGAAAATAGCTTGTACCCCTTTTAGCTCCGATTGTATCTAGTTATTGGAGGCCGTAGCGCTGAATGGAAATGTCCATCGGGTAATCACTATCTTGTTGCGTGGGGGCAGACAAATTGAAAGCTAGTGAAACTGATGTCTGGATGTAGGGGAAGACAAGAGTTTCTCTACCTTATAGCTTGACTGCCCAGTGGGGGATGGCTTCCGAGCCGAGTTTGTTTGATCGCCAGAAAACGAAGTCGGAGTGGAAAGGACCTCAGTAACCGGTGATCAAACAGAACTCGACCCCAGAGACGTTCGTTGGTTCACAGCTTCCGCGGATGAATCAGATTTGATGCCATGTTAGAAGTCTCCCTGATAGCATAGCAGTTCATTTTCAGAGCTATGCAATCAGGAATACTCAGAAAGTAGCACAAAACTCACGGTCACTCGAGCGATTGGCCTGCAGTTTCTTTGAGCTATATTTCATAATACCCCCGATGACAAAGGCGCCCCAAGCAAAGGTCTTTATCAACCCGAGTACTAAGAATATAGAACAAAGCCGAAATCAATTCAAGGCTGGCACAGTTTCCACTATTTTCCGGGGCTTTTCACCTTCTTGGCGACACTTCCCACTCGCCACGAGCCTTTCCGTAATAAATGAGCTCCGACCACGCCACTGGGGCATTAGCACTGGGACGGGGAATCGCTGAAAGCGATTTAGTTTTACAACTCGAATCTACCCAATATAAACGGCTTCTCTCACTGCAACGAACACTTCTTTTCCCCCAGATCGCGTGGCTACGTGTCGATACACAGACCATTCTAACGATACAAAATCACGTCATAACCAAAAATCATCGCATGAGCATAACTCACGCCGAGAAACGTGCCTGGATTTTGCGTATACGTGATGTGAAGGAGTCCGACAAAGGCTGGTAATGTACCCACTATCATTCTGCACACTTCGATACCCGACTTCGGGCTTGCCAGCTGGAAAAATAACTCTAATTGGCAAGCACTCCAGCATTAAACAATTCTAACACACAATCTCAATGCATTGCAGGTACATGTGCCAAATAAACACGGACCCCATGAAGAGCCAAGTCGGCTACCTAGACGTAGTGGGTGAGTATTCGACTTGAGATTGCGTAAACCGAAGCCAGAAGTTCCCATTCCCGTTCCCGTTCCGGTTAATCAAACAGAAATAAAACCGATGCATGTAACTCTGGGCTGGGGGCGAAATGAATTGTAATTTGATTTGATTTGAGTGGCTCGAACACTCAACTCGGGCCAAAACAAAGTTGCTGCTGATGGTTTCTGAAACTGCACTAATTGCTCAGCCGAGTGGCGATCGAAGGCAGGAACTGGGTTAGCGAATCGCAGTTGTGCAACTCCCAACTGCTCCCAATTGGCTCTAATTGCGAAAGGAAGAAGCGAACATTCGACTTGGCCCGCTCCATTTCAGCGGGCTTTGCCAGAAAGTTTTCACTTAACCAACACATTAGCTCCGAACAGAAGGACGGCAGCGAGGGGTAATGAAACAATTTACATGCTACGTGCACCTGTCCATCCTGGCCAGTCAGTCCCTCAGTCCAGTCCCTGTCCCGACGTTAATTATTCAGACGGCGTAGACGTGGAGCGGCACCGAAAAACCTCAGAGCTCGCAGGGCGGCAGATCCGCCCCGTAGGCGAATTTAAAATGGATATGCCGCTCTGACTCGTTTCCGGTCGCCCGCCCACCCACATAAGTAACCACTCCGGTTGATTGTGTTTTCATTGATGTTGAAATTCATTAAGCTCCCAGTCGCCCCGCCCGGTACACTGAGCACAACGCACAACGGCTCGCCGCGAAATAATTCACACACAGCCGCACTAAGTCCATAAGCAAAATGGCAAGCCGCTTTAAATCAGCGCGGATTTCCCAGCTGCCACTGACAAAGTGCTCGATTGTGTGGCGTGTGCTCCTGCCCTCGGAAAACCCTCCGCTCGGAAAAGCCGACGCGATGGCAACCGGCTGTTGTTGTTGTCAACGCTTTAGTAGTTTTCCACACCGCGAAACTGGCAAATAAACGGCGGCGTAAAAGCGATCGGAACTTATAAGCTGGGAGTCGCTGGGAGCAAAAGGGGCAAGCTGACAGGGCGACAAAGGATGGGAAAACGGGGAACAGGTGACTTACTCGTGACCTCAGCTAGGACAACAAATTATGTCGGCCAAGCGGGAACAGAGGCTAAGCTCCTACTTTACATGCAGCTAAGGCTGTTGAGATAATAAACATGACTAATTCGTAGACAGTGGAGTATATTTAGGCCATGTTTATTAACTTTGGGCTTTATTTTGAGAGAACGAAACGCTTAGGTTCTCATCAATTTTTATTTACTTGGTTAGTTTTCCGAATCTTCAATGATAGCCTTACCCCATAGTTCTTGGGAGCCGTCCAATCCGATGAAGTTGAAAAAGATTATTGACAAAGTTTCAGTTTCACTAGTCTGTCTATAAATATACTGGTTAGTTTAAATCGAATGTTGTTAGTCAGGAAAGGTTGTAATGTATTGTTTACTTCATTAGCTTGGAAGTACATAGCATAGTTTCGATTAATATTCAGAATTTCCTCAGAGAAGTGTTATAACACTATGGCATAACTGCGTGGTGCGTTGTTCGATTTATAATAGCCTATGGATTTTTCACTCAGTAATTGTTATTTCATCAATGCAATTGCCGACTTCAAAGCTGTGTATTGTGTTTAACAGCCATTAAAAGCAGTCAAATTTACATAATTACTGCTTTACTTTAAGCTACTTATTTATAATTGCGAAAGTAATGCGGCCATGGTTTTATGAACTCATTTTTGGGATACGTCTTGAAGGTGAATAAGGTTTTAAAATTTTTTTTGCATTAAAAAAATTTTTTTTTAAAGAAAAATATGTCGAGTTAAATTTTTAAAACAAGTTCATTACATAAATACGCAGGTAATCGAATAGTTTTTTTTAATTTTTAATTTTTTTCTATTTTTAAAAAATAAATTAACTGCGATTTTTTGAGCTGAAATCACACTTTTCACGTCCAAGTGCTGCCAAAAATAGACATAAATAACCTTAAGAACCTTAAGAAATATATCACCTTTGAAACGTATTTTAATTTTTTATTTCGGTTGATCCGGTAACGAGTTATGATGTTCACCGCAAATCACTTCTGGAGTTTAACCGTAACAGGCCTATTTATTAATATTTTATATTCAAATTTTTAACTAATACTCTTTTAAAGTTGAACAATAATATGTCATTCAAATTAATAAAATACAATTTCTTATGTCGCCCCAAAAAACCACAAATATAGCCTTTTTTGCGTTTAAAACCAACAGTCGCATTATAATTAGAAACTCGCTCCTAAAAGCTTATAAATGGTATTTTTCGGGAAATTATATGAACGTTTTTAGGTACAAATAATTATACAATTTGTTAAATAAATTTAAAAAATTGTATAATTAAATAAATTTAATTATTTAAAAATTCTTTGTGGCAACAGTTAGGAAATAAAACTTATTTTATGAATATCCAAAAGAAAAATACGAAACAGTCCCTTGAGTGATAGCCACCAAATGTAAAAAGTCATTGAAATAAAACGTGCGAAGCGAACATCCAAAAAGGTAGAAAATCAATTTTTGACAAATTTTCGTATTTTTCTCACAATTTTGGCTGTGAAGCTTTATGGACTCGTTTTGCTTTGTTTGTTGGCTGGTCTGTTGTTTTGGCGATGATTGTTTTGGCTCAACCATACGGATGGATGGGGATGGTTGCGAGAGCCAGCCAGACATTGAATCATTTAAACCAATATGTTCCCCCACTGACGTTTTGACCACGTTAAATGGAACTAGGCTGATCCAAGCCAAGGGTTCTGCAGCTGTCCGAAAAGTGCAAAAATAGAGGAGCTGATTTGAAAAGAGCTTAAAAATGGGAAAAGCGAGTGAACAAATAAAACATTTGCGTTTGTTGTGGTTTGCCCGAATCGATCGAAAATGTACTAAGCCAGCTTTATGAACGATTATTTTCTTAAAATATTTCCAAATTGCATTAGGCTTTATTGCTTTCAGTTCGACAGCCGGTTTAAGCGCTTATCAATAATCCCCAAATCAGTCAAGCTCATATCGGCCATTTGCCGTCATCTCAATCCAATTGAAATTAATTTGTGTAACGCCAATTTAATCACACATCATTTCACCTGATTTCGTAACTTATCAACTCACGCCGCGCACAACAAAGGCGGCGAAGAAAAGAAATGGCCAGCTTTGCCCACCTAAATTTATATATATATATATACACCAATTTTTGTGGGACACGAGTCGGGCTATTAAGGGAACAGAAAAGTCAACAGAGGCAAAGGCCGCTGGAGCGGAGCTATAGTACATCCAATTTGTAGGACATGACGTGTACAGCTGTGTGGGCCGGGTGAAAAGTCGGAGTACACTTTGTAAAACATGCACATCATTGTTGGCATGAAGACTTTGAAGTCACATTGTGGGTGACTCATAACTTGGCTCTCAGGCGGCCTTTGTAAAGTGGAATCCCCACAATTCCAAAACCAACGGCAACAAAGAGAGAAATCAAAGGAATCGCCCAGAAACTAATTACGGTTCGTGAAAAGGTGCCAAGAAAAATGGATTGATCGGATCGAAACTAATTCAGACCTTTTAGAGGAAACTTTCAGATACTGAAATCAAAACAAGAGAGGCTAGTTGGCCCTCGGGCAACCGGAGCTAAATGTTTCCCTTGTCTAGGTGTTTCTTTTGAAAACGGATTGTTTTATCTGATGGTAAAGTGCTACTTATGTTCTGCACTCACTTTATCCCCTGTAATTTTCTGGGAAGCGCAGATTAGTCTAGCATAAAATTAAAATGAGCTGCAGTGCAGAGGGTAAAGGGCAAAGGGTAAAAAAAAGATATTGGGCATGTTATTAAACCACGGTTTCTCTGAAACTTTAAAATAAGTGCGGAAAGCAATCGTTGTAGTACAAGAACCTTATAACCTATCTTTTGGACAAGCACTCTTTAATGGTCTAACGACAACGCCTTTTCTACTCCATCCTCTTTAACGCAAACAACTTCATCTGCAAACTGGGACCGAACCTGCTGCCCACCGACATGCTCGCAAACAATTCTCCCGCCGGCCCACGCTGCGTATGAACAACGCGCTGCCCGAAACCCTGCAACTTGGCACGTGGCTCGCTCGTCCGCGCGCAGTGCCCCCCGACATCCTGGACTACCCGACCAGCACCGATATGGTAATACGCGAGGGCTCCAACGTGACCCTCAAGTGCGCCGCCACGGGATCCCCGACTCCAACGATAACCTGGCGCCGCGAGGGGGGCGAGCTGATACCGCTTCCAAATGGAGCAGAGGGTGAGTACCGCGACTCCACTGCTGTGGGGTTCGTTGCAAAACATTTTAAAGGTAATTGACTCGTGTGGCATAAGCACAGGTCCGAGCTGCACAACATGCCCTTTGAGGTTGGCCAACTGAACTGGTTTGATTGTTCGGCACTCGAGCGGAGTTCGGGTTGCCTCAATCGGTGCTACTTGCAGGGCTGCTAATTAAAATGGGATAGAATAGCACTTCAGATCAAACTCTCAGTCGTCTTGGGGCTGCGCTGGGGAATTTATTGCCAAATATCTGGGATTTATGGCAGACGGGATGGATGCAATAAGCAAAATAAGGCAGGGGGCGAGCTCAGCAAACACGCCGAATATGTGCAATTTGAGTTTTTCCTCTTTGCACTGGAATCGTCAGAAGGATTTCGCTACTATTCGGTGCTGCTAAAGTGCAAGCGATGCACTGTAGGAAACGTTTTAAGAGTGTATTGATGCTAAACTATTTTCGATATACTTGAACCCCAAATAACATTTATTTGGCTATTGCTAATCACTTAACTTGTTTGTTTCCCCATGTACAGAAAAATGTGCAGAAAATTAAGAGGATATTTTTAAGGTTGAGGGTACTAGGTGCAAACCAAATCCCTCCAACAACCGTTCAGAGTACAAACTGATATGGTTTTTTGAGATGCATATTCTGCATGCATAAATATTCATAAATTCGCAGCCAGTTTGGGGAGTCTGGCTTAATTGAAACCGAATTTTCTCGCAGTGCCCTGAGATTTTGCGAGTTGCATAAGCAGCGGGAACGCGATGATTAGCTGCCGCAGGAGCAACAAGGCACCGTGTGGGGAGTTTCGAGTGTGTGGGTGGGGAGCAGGATGCCGGAGACATTCTGGCTCACACTTGGGCTCCCTGCGGAACAGAGCATCCATGGATCCGATATTAATCCCCCCGTTTCTCCCGCAGCCGTCGCCTTCAACGGATCCTTCCTGACCATCGCCAAAGTGAACCGACTGAACATGGGCGCCTACCTCTGCATCGCCTCCAATGGCATTCCGCCAACAGTCAGCAAGCGCGTGATGCTCATCGTGCACTGTGAGTATTTGGGGCTCGGCGGGTGGGGCACGGGGCATGGTTCCCGTTTTAGCATATTTAAATATTTATGGTCCTGCGCCAGGACCGCAGCTCGCAACTCCAGACCCAGACGCAGACGCAGACGCAGCCGCAGCGGGAGCAGCAGACCCAGTCACATCTACAATCACCGGCACAGTCACAATCGCAGTCACAGACTGCGAGACACACAAAGCGCCACTCGAAATCTGGCCGTGCTGAATATGCCCCGCATCTGAATTTTCCCAGCGAGACCGGGAAATGCCTTGCACCTCCGGGTGCCTCCGTGTGCCTCTGGGTGGCATAAAGCAAATAATTAAGTGTGTGCAGCTAGTTAGCATTTCAGGGCACTTTGCCCGGCTCCTCCTCGCTAATTAAATAAAAATTAAAATTGCTCAACAATTTGCCGGGAAGCTCACGGCACATATTTAAGCCGGGCCGACGGGAAACTTCTCCGGCTCCGGAGAAGCGACTCCGCTCCGGTTAGCCGACCGCAAATCGGTTCTGGTCCGATGGCAAAGCGTTTTTTGCGGCTTTGCTATAAAATTAAAAAGCAATTAGTTGGAAACAATAAATGGCAACCGCAGCGAATTGCCAAACGGCAGCATAAAGCACTAGAAAAACAATAACGATACCGAGCGGAATTTCTCTATAAATGGGAATTCTTTGTTTCCGCCCCCTCCGCATTCTGTTCAATCGCTCGAACATTCCACACCTGACGCAAAACTTCGGCCCACACATTTCCCGTCAGCTTTCCCGCCAGCTTTTCATCCCAGACTCTGACGCCTGGCCCTGGCCGTGGCATTTCCCTCTGTTTTGCAGTTCCGCCCATGATTTGGATTCAAAATCAATTAGTCGGCGCCGCCCTCACCCAGAACATAACGCTGGAGTGCCAGTCGGAGGCCTACCCCAAGTCCATCAACTATTGGATGAAGAACGACACGATTATAGTGCCAGGTGAGTTTGGATACAACATATGTTTCGACAGCACGAAAGATACTTTTAAGTACTTTTTAATAATAGCTGTAAGCTGTCTTTAAAAAAAGTATGCTTATATTTTGAGTGCTGTAAAGGTAAATAATGAAAAGCGATTCATGATTAAAAGAGTTAAGATCTGTTCTGAAATCAGTTTCAATCAAGCTGATACCCTTAAAAGGCTGGGATAAAATCGTTGCAATGCGGTCACTAACGTAATAACTGTCTCCATCAACCGTGTCCTTTTGCCGGGTTAATTTCAATAGTTTCCTTTCCCAGCCCCTCATCTACTACGTTCAATTTAATTTTCTAAGGGCCTTCAACGACGGACGGTCCATCTCCTCATTTAACCTCTTCAACTCCCCACTCATCTTCGCTGGGAAATGGACTGAGCACGATGACAAAAAGTGCTTGGAGCACAAGTAAAAAAGCGATGGGAAAATAAACATTCAGCCGAGCACTCGAATCCGCGGTCGCAGAATAACTGCGCAAGTGGACCCGCTCCACTTGACCCTCTCCCCAACAGGAAAAGGCATCGTCATCGGCGCAGAAGCGGCGTAAAAAAGTCACAGACATGCAGTCGGTCGCTCTCCTTTTTCCAGTTATTTTCAAGTTGTTTTTTGCCAGCGGAGAAAATGGAAAAAGTGATTGAAAATGACCTCAAGTCAGAAGCAGTTGCCGGGAACTGTCCGCCCGCCGCTGGATTTTAATGGAGTTTTCTGTTTTAGTTTTGAGAGGTCGGGGCTTTTCCATGACCGCAGAGCGGTAACAAAAACTGGGCCGAGAATCGAGAGGCCGCTTAAAGAGGCCTGTGATTAGGCGGCGAATTCAGTTCAGTTCTTCACGGTTCAGAGTCGGAAAAAGGAGCAGGAGGAAGCTCCTCCCCGAAACCCAATTATTTCTAATCAAGACTCGGCCGAATCTGGATCTCTGCCTGCCATCACAATGGCATTTGCCGGAGTAATCAGTCGCCCAGCCGGCATGCATAACAATTACCGAACCCGGACGAGTGTAATACTCGGCTTAGGGCTACTAAATCTAACCGACATCAAACGTAAATCAAAACCTGCATGACAAACAAAAACGGGACAGCGCAGCACCGAGACACCGAGACGGACTTGTTTTTGTATAAATTAGAGCGGACCATTTGACAGGGGCAGCTGGGTCAAAATCCGAACAGGACAACTTGGGCTTCCTCCAGCTGAACTCATTTGAGCCGGGCTAAGCCGAGTTGAGGCGAGTTGCCCCGACTCAACGAGTGCAAAAGTTCTTTCCCAGTTAAATTACTTTGGCAAGAAGCTGACGAGAGCAGTCCAGCTCGAAAAGGGGTCAAAGTGCACTGCGGTCTCACCCGAACCCCCCCTTCCTCGCTCCTTTCAGGTGAGCGCTTTGTGCCGGAAACCTTTGAGTCGGGCTACAAAATAACCATGCGGCTGACCATTTTCGAAGTGGACATCCAGGACTTCGGGGCGTATCGATGTGTGGCGAAGAACTCCCTGGGCGACACCGACGGCGCGATCAAACTGTACCGTGAGTATTGGCGCAAGTAACAATAACCTCATGAATACCACAGCAGCGCCAATAACAATAACCGTAACCGAAAGCCCGAACAACAATGGCAATAAGTCAGACGCCCCCGGCAATTAGGCGCAAACTATTTGCCCGGCTGGAGCTTTTAATTAATTTAAGTCAACGACTGCGTGGGCCGACAGCAATGTGTGTTTGCCCGATAAATTCCCAAAACAAAGGGTCGTCGGGGCTCAAAGGTGACCATTTTCCGAGTGTCAGTGATTGATTTACGAGCAGCAGGCTGGTAACCCTTCCTCCGGCTGTGGGTGTAGAACATCCATTGTATTCTAACTAACGTCAGAAGTTGACTGCTAAACAAAGCAATTCGGTCATGAAATGCCTCCCAAAAATAGCATATTGTACTTATATCCTTTAATGTAGAAGCTCCTTACTAGAAAGCCACTGCACTTCATCAGTTGAGTTAGTCGGTGCAAGTTGGGAGTTAAGGTGCCGCAAGGTGGGCTGCGAAAGCCTGCCCCTCGGGCGTTGTTATTGGACTGGAAAACCGCTGATGTGGTGTTGACTTCTCGTGCGACTAGGATCTGACCCCAACCACTCCCGTTCGCAGATATTCCCCAGACCACCACGATGACAACGATGGCTCCGACCGCCTCGATCAACACGGTGCCCGTGGTCCTCGTGAAGTACAACAAAGGTGAGTGCCCAGTTCAGTCGAGAAACCCCACTCACTTCCCGCAATCGCAATCGCATTCGCAGAGCAACGCTACGGGAGCAGTGGAAACCAGAACGGCCACGCCAGCAGCAACCCGTACAACTTCGGTCCGGGAAACGGGCAGCAGAACCAGAAGCCGCAGCGCAGCAAGGCCAGCAACAAGGGAGTGGACCAGTCCGCCTCCGGGCTGAACAACGTCTTCGTGGGGGCCACGTCCGGCCTGTGGAACCCGCAGGACCAGCACTCCTCCTCCTCCCGGGGAAGGGATCACCAGCAGCAGCAGAACCTCGGTGAGTTGGCTCCCTCGAAGTCCCTGGGGAAACGGCCCCTCGGCCACTCCCCCTTTTCCATCCCCTTCCCAAACTGAGCAATTGATGGGAAATCCCTCTCTGGGGGCGCCGGAGCACCCCATAAATATTTCGCCATTTATTTTATGCTTATGACAAATCATAACGACTTAGCTGCCTGGCTTAAGGGTCTCTGGCATGTCGTTGTCGCCACTTGTTAGATATAGATACTTTTGGCTCAAGCTGCTAAGAACTTTGGTCAGGAATGGGAAGGACTGACTGCTGGATACCGTGGAAAACCCAACAATTACCGGAGAACGCAACTTTGCTCGTAAACTCACATTAGGGATTAAGGGGTTTTGATATTTGAATTGATGTTACTGAATGGCGCAGTTTAATCCCATTAATATGATTTTAACTCGAAGCTGATGGTAAATTTGTCAGCCAAAACGAGAGAGGTAATACACCCCTGATTCGATTGTGAAACAGTGTAAATATTTGGCCAGCACATATAAAAACGTGTTTCTGTATCTGCTCCTCCTCCGTTGGCTCCTCTATATTTTTTGTCGCGTTGTCAGGGAAAATATGACTTCCTAGCATGCAATGGCAGGGTCTCGGGATCCGTTCCAATCTTCACCCGTTGCTGAGTTGACAGTGTGTCTGCCGTAATGTGCTGCTAATGCGGACCATCGTAATGTACAATCATAATAAATAATAATGGGCTCCTGCTATTTGGTCTCGGCTGGAGGAGGGAAAAATTTAGCCCGAGGTGCCAATGAAACTATCGAGCTCGAGCTCGTCGCTTGAAGCACAAGTCACAGTCTCCTTGGAGCAGCTGCCAATCGATAAAGTTTTACACTTGCTTTCCGATTTCCCGATTTCCCGCCTGCTCCCTGCTCCCTGCTCCCTACCCCTTTCCCGCATCCTTCGCCGATCACACAATTGGCGACAATGTTCGTCCTCCGCAAGGACGAACGCGTAAAACTTTACAGGCCCTTTGCTGCGATGTGGAAATTTTCTGCATACGCGCTGACTAAAATAAAATGCACTCGACAAAATCAAATCGAACAAATTGAATATGAGGATGGGAGCAGAGTGGTTGGGGGAGGGGTGGTCCAAGGGGGAGGGGGGAGTGCTCCAAAAGCGCAATATAAAAATAGCAGACAAATTGCACACAAGGCGGCAAGGAGTGGGGCCGAGTGGGCTGCCCCCAAACTTATCCTGCCGTTTTTGGCAAACGCAAGCAGAAATGTTGCATCCCTGGCAGGATGGCCATCCATTTCAAAGTGGCGGGTGGCAAGAAGGGGGTGGCAAGTGGGGGTGGCAAGTGGGGTGGCAAGTGGAACCTTTTTGGATGCGGGCGCTACAATGACGACAACTTTCAAGCGGGGCATGCAACGTCGTAAGCGCTGCGTTTACAGTTAGATTTATTACCTGCTAGATGTTGCACATATCGTGCCACGGGGTGGCTCTGCCCCTCCCCCTCCCCCTCTGCCGTTCGCCTTCCCTTGGGAAGGGGGCCTGGGGAGGGTGGGGGTGTGGCTTGTTCGCTTATCGTTGCGAGTTTTGCATATGTCGCGACTGTTTTTGCTCGGCCGCTGACACTTTAAGGCGGAACAAGCCAGCGACAACGAGAGTTTCATGGCCAAAGCGCCATTCCCCAACCCCCTTACCCCCTCAGCCACCAGAGCCACGCCCCTCTATTTGCGGGGACACGAAAATGGTTTAACGAAAGTAATGCTATCATTCGGGATTTTTCAGGTTCCTCAGCAATCTAATACATATTTCATGAACTCCGTTGTTAAAAACGGCAAGTAGCGCCGCTTAAATCGCTCGAATGGCTAAACCAATTTGAGTTGTTTTAAAAAATTATCAACTTAGTTAAGACTGGCTTTTCTGCTTCGTTTTCATTGGAATAAGCTACACACTAAGTAGGAGTTTGACCACCTGTGCACACGTGTCACATAACCGAATTTCTATTAACCAACAAAATCTATTGGCCATTATGGCTGGACTCCCCTGCCGGGTTTATCTTGTGCCCAGATGTGCAGCACTTGTCCGCATGCCAATTAAATTTAATTTCCAATTATCAGGGGGTCGAGTGGCCCCCTCTCACCGCCACTGCTAAGTCCGCTTGGGGCCGCAAACCGATGGCCCCATTAAGTGCTGCAGATGCATTCGGCCGCCACTTAAACTGTCATTAAAATGTTGCAATCAACCGCAGGAGCTGCGTCTCTGGAAGGACCTCGGCTCCTGTTGTCGCCGTCATATTTAATTTGTGCGGCCGGCAGCAAACAATATGCCACAAATTACAAGGAAATGCAATAAAAGAAAATTGCGCCGCTCGGACAGGGAGTTGGCATCGGACTGAGACTCGGATCCGGATCCGGAATCGGATTCGGATTCGGATTCGGACCCAGACGGATGATTACTTCAGCATTCAGTGTCTGGCAATAATATGCCCATAATTCGCACGAGCCGTCCGGCCGAGTGAAAAACGATGAAGTAAATGAAATGCAACAGCGAGCCTCGCGTGCCCTTTGACCCCCGAGGGGGAAATTTCGCGGGGAAGGGAAGGGGGTTAGTGTTGCACAATGAACACAACGCATGGCAGGACCAAAGTGAGTCTCAAGTGCCGCGCTTTTCTCGCTTTTACTTCGCTTGAGTGCTCATCGCGCGGAAATCGAGGTGTGAAAGCTGCCCCAAGCGGAGTGCGATTTGAGCCCCAAGGCAGTCGGCATAATTGCCCCGACTCCACCCGACCTATAGATGGGTTACCCCGAACAGATGCAGCCTGTTCCTATTAGGCCAATTGCTCCCCGCGGACCGCCAAGCAGTTGAGCCGAACCGCCTTAAAGTATCGAGATGCCACAGAGTTACGAGCGTTTGAGCCAAAGCGTTTGCTTCGGCAAACAGGGCTTCCTTTGCTCTCCCGTCTAAGCTCTTTAAAGACTCCGCTGGGACATCCCCCATTACCCAGCACACCCTCACACACACACATGCACACTCCGAAGCACGCATAAACACATGCTCAAACGTCAATAAAAATCAGCCAAACACACACACACACACACTCATACACAGAGGACACACAAACGTTGGTGTTGCCGGCTTTCACACATGGAAATGTTTGCAGACGCCAGCAAAAGAAGCAAAGGAAGCAAGGCAACGCCAGCCAGGATGGCAGCGCAAAGGAGTTTTGTGGAAAAGCTGCTTATGGAAAAATGGAAAACCAGGAGACACATAGCCACACACAACTACGCTGGCAACCCGGTGCAAAGCAATTTGCGCATTTCCGTTATAAAAATAAAAGGGTTCTCGTTAAAAACAATACGAAAGTCCCCGGATGACCGAGGGCAACAGCTCCGAAAATGAAGGGCCGGCAGTCGGGCCATAATTCACAGTTATGCCAAAGTTGGTTCGATGAAGTTCGACTGCGTCGCAATCGGTTTACGGATTGCTCGACGCTCCTTTTTTTTGCCCCTGCTCGCATATGTTGGCCTATTAATTTTGGAAAAGTTCTATATGTCTCTGGCACACAACGTTAGTTTTTTAACCGGCAACTAATTAATGTGTTTTAACGAAGAGCAACTGGGTGAATCGAAACCCATTTGCAGGGCGATCCTGTCAATTATTTATATGTTATTTATTTGGTATTGAAAAAAGTCATGTTTTTCATGTCAAAATATGCAACTGTTAAGGGTCTTCGAAACTGCATTGGATTTTGTATAATATATATATATATATAGTGTGCTTGTACTATAATTTAATCAATTGACCAAACAAACCCAACTGAAAGCCGCATAATGTTTATATTTTAAGTTGCCCGCAGGCTCTTGCCAACTCAGACCCCGAGTAATCCCGCAAACAATTGTTTTCCATCCTCCTAATGACCAATGGCCTTTTGTCAAAGTCAAACGGGACCGAGGAGGACAAAAACAAGTCGAAACGCCCCCTTCCATTCGATTCATTTCAATTCGATTCGATTCGGAGCCGAGCCAAACAGGCAAACAAATGTCCAATGAACCAGATTTCCGGGCAAACAAACAGCCGAAAAAGGAAGACGACTCGCAAAAAACCAGACTGCACGGTGAATTGATGGCAGGAACAACACACAGCCTTGCACCTCCTGCACCGTCCGGAGTGTGGGTTCCCCGATTCCCTCGTGTCCTGTGGGCCTCCCGCCACCTCCCCTCTGGTTGGGGATGCACGGCGCGGGGTTTAACGCACTTAAGCAATAAAAATCGAAACAATTTTCGATGCTGCCAAGTGAAATTGAAACAAAATACCAGCAAGGACGAGTGGGGGGACACTTTCGCTTTTCGAAAGGGGTCGACGTGGAAGTGGAAGTGGGCAACTGTACAAGCGAGAATGTTATAAATAAGTGGGGCAGTCGAAGCTGTGTCCCTTTTGTATGCAATACTTTCTGCTCCGCCAGTTGACAAACAGTTTGGGTTTGTGTATCCTGTATCCTGAGCTCGCTTTTCCCTTCGATTTCCCCCCGGCTCCTCGCTCCCGGCTCCCGAGGTCGTTTTATCTCTTTCGCATTGTCGCCTGGTACAAATGGCTGGCCATAAACGCATCCTGGGTCTATTGTTTATGCTCGTTGGCGTGTGGCAAGCGCATAATTGAAAAAGGACATTCGGCTGATGGCATTCGGGTTGAGTGCGGGAGAAATGAAGGGCGCGTCATAAAGTGGCATGTGTCGGTCGTCGCTTGATTAAGTCGGAGCAGTAAAAACAAAGAGTCCGCAAAGAGCCGTAAATAAAAGTATTTCAATCAATCATGCCACCCCTCACCACCCCCTTTCTTTCCAGGATCCGATCACAGCGCCTCCTACCGCTCCGATGGCAGTGGAAAGAGCCCGCACCTCACGAAGCACGACGCCAAGTCCTTGACCGACGACCTGGATCGCATGCAGGACCTCAAGGGCTGGGCCCCCGCTCCGCCGCCTGCTCCTCGGTCCTCGCCCTCCCGATCCTTCTGGGAGTGGGCTACTTGGGGGCGTGGCCGGGCTAAGCCGTTCTCCACGGAAGAATGTACAAACAGCGCAGAAGAATCCGGTGTTAGTCTCATTAGGAAAAGTACTTCGTAAGCAATACTCATATACATAAATCGTGTTGGTCGAAAACTCTATTATTTTTGTGCTATGTGGAAAGTTGCTTACTGTAAAAAGTTGTTGATGTTTAAGGTAATCTAGAGTTTAAGCGGAGAAGGGGGGAGAAAGGTGGAGTACGAAGCGGTGGAAACTGGAATTCGCAACGGAAATACAAAGTATTAGTATGTAAAACATAGGGGCTTAAACAAAGAATAATTGTTCACTGGTCTGGTACGAAGGTTGGTGTTTCTATTTTTGGCCCGAGGATGTGTTTACCATGTTTTATTAAAGCCATTGAATGTAATATTGCAAGCCCTTCCTTACTCAATACACACAATAGAAATAATTCATTAATCAACTGAAAAAGAACTTGTTTGCATCATATTAAGCTCTTACTTTGTTTAAATATCTCACACATGCAATCGTTAGGGCTGAATTTATGGTAAAGTTTATCAATCACCACAATCAAAAAACAAGGCCAGGAATATAAACATTAACATACCAAATAAGCCTCAAGCCGAGATTATGTTATATTTAAGTCACCGATAACAATATTTTTACTATTAGCCCAGTTTTAGCTTAGTTTCCACTGCAAGCACTGCAAGCTGTATAATAAATATTACATAACATTTCATCTTGATTTAAGGGAAAATAAAAATGCCGTCTTTAATCATGTAACTTCAGACAAAAATGTGTGTTGATGTTTAGCCTTATAATGGAAGAATCCAGGTAATATGTTATAAATTATGTTTGTTTCTCATTGCATTTTTGTAAGAATAAAAAGTTCCTTACCATTGTGTTTCTGAATAAAATAAAATTAATGGAGTGTTTAGGGACATTTTAAAACAGTTTTAACATGCCGATCAGATTTTCATTTCACAATACCCTTAGGTGAAAGACACAATATTAATTTATTTTCTTATGTAGATGTAAAAATTTAAAAAATGATTCCGTAAAATATATAAGACATTGCTGTATACGCCCAGTTTGCTAGAAGCCCTTTGAAAATCACCAGTAATATGTGAACGCAATTTATCTTTAGAAGAACGAGAAGAAGTTCACATCCAAGGGATTGGTTTTCCGGGCAACTCTCAAAATGCAATAGCCCCAAAGCGAATATTTACTGAACCGCAGAATGTACTATACCCAAACAAGTGGAGCCCCGCCACCGCCACCGCTGCCATTGTTTACTTTGCCAGCGAATTTGTGCGCCATCGACCCACATGAAAACATTTTTCGTTTTCATTAAAAAAGTGTGCGAAACAAAAAACGCGCGCGACTTTATAATTTAATTTAAAAAGCGGTGGGCAGTGGCAGGCGAAGGCGGAAGAGTGAAGCACGAAGCAACTGCAGCGCAAAAACATAAAAAATAATTATTAAAATAAATTAAATGTCTGCTGCTGCCCCCATAAACTTCGTCGAGTGGGCAATTAAAGGAGCCGGCGTGCGAGATGTGGGGGCAGTACGAACGTGGTTAGTTTTTTCTCAGGAGGTGAAGAGTTAACCGGCAGTCACAAAAAGCACACAGACCAAAAAATCAAATTGCCGGCATGGCATTTTGACTCGAGTTTCACACAACGCCATGGTAAATGGCAAAAAATTGGCATGTGAAACGATTGCAGTCGCCTGTCCCTTCGTTTCGGCCTTCTGCCTTCTGCCTTCTGCCCTCTGCCGCAATAAAGGCTCCAGTTAATAAAGCCAGCAAAGCATGTGCTGTATGTCAAAAAAACGAATAAAAATATATGCTGGTAAGGAGAAGGGCAGGAACAGAAGAGCGACGGCCATCGGAAGCATGCAGACAGTCTAAAAAGCTACCGTAAATGAGCTCCATTATGAAGAATCGCTATTCGCGGCTCTCAACCGCGTTGCTGTATCACATTTCTAGGGAAATATATTCCACCTCACTATTTTGTAAACTTTTTCTTGATTTTAAAAATACAAAGCTAAACATTTTGTAAAAAAAGGTTAATAAGGTTATAGCTTGAAATTATATTGTATTCATGTATGCGTAATCGATCCCAATTTTTATTGTTTTCCAATTTAAGTTCACACGGGCTGAGTGAAGTGGCATAAGTTGAATAATATGATGATGATCAGCAATGAATATACTTTATTAAATAAAACATTTTTTACATTTTATTTTTTGAAAAATATACAAGCTTTTGCACTTTTCACTAATTGAATAAGGAAGTCAAATGAAATTGTTTTTTATTTTATAATACCAACCTAAATTTGTTCTTTGTTATACCGGTTACTCGGGTTTTTTTTTAAAGCATACCATACATGTATGGATTCAAGTAACGCCGCACTTGACTATATACCTACCAGAACATACATCCCTCTCTCGAAAAATAGATTTTGTAGCAGTGCCTTTTGAATCTGCTTTCGCTGCTCACTCATCACTAGATTCTGTTTCCCACCATTGTAGCTCCTATAGTTTTCAATATCTCGATCATTTTTACACCCTTGCAGAGCAAAGGGTATTATAATTTCAGTCAGAAGTTTGCAACGCTGTCAAGGAGACACCTCGGGCCCCATAAAGTATATATATTCTTAATCAGCATCATGATCAGAATCCAAATACGTATGTAGGTCTGTCCGTCTGTCTGTCTGTCCTACTGTCTGTTTCTATGTAAACTAGTCTCTCAGTTTTGAAGCTATATCGCTGAAACTTTCGCAAAAGGTGTGTAGTTATTGCACGCAGTATATAAGGCGGAAGGGACCGGACGACTATATAGGATAGCTCCCATCAGACAATTATGAATTTTGAAACATAGAGTTTTCTAACGAGTCTTGAGTTTCAAATTAAATTTCATTAAAATCGGACGACTATATCATATAGCTGTCATATGAACAATATGGAAAATGAATAGAAAAATCGTCATAGATTCGATGTGTTTAGCCTTCATGTATTTTGTTCGACATATTTAATTACTGCAAGGGTATATAAGATTCGGCTCGCCGAACCTAGCTTTCTTTCTTGTTTTAAAATGTTTTGAAAACGAATTGAGTGTTTAAAGTGGTATGGTCAACAAAAAAGTAAGTAATATTTTTAAATGTGCATTTTATGCGGATATGGGAGTTCTTATTTTCAAATACAATGTCATAGTTGAACCATTTCATTTTAATTTCAATACAAGAAAAAACTGTTGAACCTACGAAACTACTTTTAGTACAGGAACGATGGCAGAATATTGGAAAATTGACTTTTAATCACTTAATAGCAGGGAAACATTTTCTGATATCAGTCTTAGAAAAAACGTTCCCAACTCGAACTACTTCCTAGAATTATAATGACACGATATCTGACTATTGAGGCGCAATTCGCTGAGTATTTGTAAAAGTTGAAAAAGTAAGCGTGGAACATTTTAATTTCTAATCACAATATTCTGGTTCAAGAAATCCATCCCACGGGCGCACAGATCGAGAGACAAGCAAGTGTGGCAACAGTTGTCCAATCAGCCTGATCAATAACATAAATATATTCTTTATGTACCGGATACCTGTTGAGAATTCAACCAAAACAGTTTGCCCATTTACCCAACTCGTGAAGAGTATACATTTTGCGAGGTGTCCACTTGACATCTCATCACGCGGTGTGCGGAATCAATTTCGGTTAGCTCCAGAGACAAATTGTAATTTTTATTCAACATGCATATTTAACACGTTTAAATATTTCATGGTAAATTGCAGTTTTATATAACGTTATCAAAATAATTGATAGTGGAAAATTGCACAATAACCAAATATGAGGGAAATTCGACTTTCACGCTTGTTTTTGCCCCAGAATTAATTTCTATTGTCAGGGACACTTTTTTCGCAGGCGTGACATTGATCGGTTTAATGACGCGAAGCCGCAACAAATTTTCAACATTAATATTTGACAGCATATTAAATGCAGGCACTTGCAACCAAACTTTCGTCGGCAGGTTAAAGCCAACTCTGACCTTAAATAAAAAGCATCGAGCCAGTTTTTGTTTCATTTAGCCAACTGCCTCCATTGTGGGTCTTGGCCTCTCTTTTTTGCGCTTTGATATGGTATGCTTTTTGTCCTGCCCTCTTTCGTATGCAGTGGGTTTTTCTTGACTTTTCCATCCGCCTGTTTTTCTTTCGCCGGAACACTGTTTTTGCGGCAGCTGTCGAGCCGCCATAATTAAGATTTACCACTAAATCGGGCAAAGGTTGCCAAATCAAACAACTCCTGTTTACATTACAAATGGGAAGCTGGAGCTAATGAGGAATTTGTTTCCCTACTGTTGGGATTCATATTTTCAAAAAACAGATGCACTTTCCCTTAGCAGAGGCTCCCACCAACCAAGCTTTCGGTTATTGACGTCACACTCCAGTGGAGCTTTTTCGAACTCGAAGTGTGTAAGTAAAGTAAAAGTAAAGATACCAACGTCAATTATAACAGTTATACACTTTGATTTACTTTAAAGCAGTTTTATTGTTAAATTTAAGTTTATTTTTTTTTTAATTTACTGAAATATTAGCCAATTAACAACTGTTTATTATCTCAAGTATTTGCCTTTCGACCCATTATGCGGATTGGGGGAAATTAACTTGTTAATCAGGCTGGAATTTGATAAAAATCAGTATATACTATATGTGCTTTAAGACGTTCTCTCCGTTACCAATGTAAAACTTATTGAGATTTTCACAAAAATTATTTTTTTAACTGAAGTATATGTAGGTGTCATTTCGTAAAAAGAGTTCATTAAAGTATTCAGGTTCAAATTGAGCTATTTTAAACCAGTCTTTCTTAAGAAAATATTTATGCATGTCTCTGGCGTGACAGGTGCCACCAGTTGCAGAGTTGTGCCAAATTCGCCTCCAGAGATCCAGAACGCTTAAATAATTTATAAATCTGCGATCTGCAGCTTCAGCTTGGAAAAGTTTTTAAAAAGTCGTTATATATACTATATATTGATAGTTATTGTTTTCTTGTACTTCTAATAATCCAGCATAAAGCAAGTTAGCGCTAAAAATGTATGGACTTGTTTGCTTAAAAACGATAAGACTGAAAGGTCGACTTAGTGGTTCTAACTATGAAAATGTTTATATTTGGCTACTTTACTCTCCTATATGTATAAATTTAAAAGCTTCCAAAAAATTAAAAGAAAAGAACAAATTTTAAAAATGTTAACTTTTTATAGTATTTTTATTTTCATCCGTTTTGATTATCAGACTTACATTCGAAATGTTTTTTTTAAGTTTATATAACTAAGCTAACTAAACTAAGAGATGTACTCCATTGTTTTTTAACAAACAACCGTAATAAAGTGTTATACAATTTTTTGCTAATTAAATTTAAAAAATCGGACAACTCGCAACAAGCAAAATTATAGAATCGGTTTTCTGAAACATAAATGTTAGGTTTTCAAATTTTTATGTGTTTTATCATGTATAAAAAATATGGTAAACTTTATACTAAACGTGTAGAAAATAGTTGTGATTTAACACGGTTTATTGGTTATATATTGGTTGTATATCAAAAAACTAACAATAAAAGCGGCTTGGCTTCATATACTTACTACAAAACGTAAAATGTTTATTGGATAGTGGCGTTCTTTAATTTTTTGATCCACAACATGACTATAAGAAAACATTTTGTGAAATTGGTGGCTTCTGAGAAAAGCATCTTGGCAACTAGTCAAAAAACGTAAAAGAATTGTCGG